GCATTTTCTGCCATTTCCTGCAGCAGCCATAATATAGTCCATATATGATGTATTTGGGGGAAACGGAAGATTTGAAGGATATGGGAGACCACCGAAGTAAAAGAAAATAAAGAGAACTTGCTCGTAAATAAGCCAAGAGCTTTTGAGAAAAAGATTAAACTCCAACAAAGCCAAATACTTCAAGAGCGTCCAGAAGGTCCAACCAAAGGAAATAAAAAATTTCGATCTGCTCGGACTCTACTAACCAAATTCACTTGGCGCGACTGAACAAAGAAATGACACTTACTTTCAAAATTAAAACAGCAGCGAATCGACGATTCTCCACTCTATTACCTTTGAGCCAATCCAGAGCAATTTTAACCTGAGGATAAGAAAGTTTAGAACATTCTGCTTCCAGAGAGAGAGAGAGCGAGAGAGAGAGAGAAGAAGAAGAAGGCGTTTATTCTCTCAGTATCCACAAACCTGGCGTTCCACTTCATCCGCAGTCATTGCTCCGCCTGCCCTAGCGAGGTGGCCCAGGACCCTACTAGCATGCACCAAAATTTCACGATCGCGCTTCCCTTCAAACACATTCCGCATGTAACTGGAAAATCTTGAGACTTTAGAAGCATTCTCCCCAAGTGCCACATCAATCAACTCATCAATAGCCCTTAGGGCCCCCAAATTTTCAGCTGGCTCACTGCTTTCTAAAAGACTAGAAATTCGATCATACAACTGATCCATGAAACGAGAAAAAGCTTCACCGCTAAGGTCACGAGCTTCTTCCTCCAGATGTTTCTTGAGAGCAAGTGAAGCACCCTCCTGCGCATTTGTGAGAAAAACCCGAAAAAAAAAAGAAAAAAAATCAGTTCTTTTGTCCTTCCAGCACCATAGTTCAGCTCTCATCCCAAAAGGGTACTTCTGTAACCACGTACTATCAGCATAATCTTGCAAAACCCAAGTGATGCTGAGGGTCAATTAGAAGTTTGGAACAGTACCTTGGGATGGCCACGAGTGCAGAGGTCAGCCAGGATCCGATTGAGTGCGTCGAAGCTGCCACCGCCCGGTCCAGTGGAGGCAGGGCCGCAGTAGCGGTGGGACTGCGACGTAGTCGCCATTAGGGTGGTCAGCCCTAAATTACAAACCCGCGGCGTCTATATGAAGAAATCTTGAAAAGAGGGAAATTCAGCATTCAGCTTGTGTGATGATAACGAAGGCGATGATGAGCTATGACCATGAGCAAGCCTGGAAGGTCCACACTGTTTCCGTGTGTCTAATTCTGCACTCTCAGATGTACATGAGCAAGACGAGGGTCCTTCCGGTGTCTTGAGGGTTTTTCCCCCTTTTTCTGTAAGACAAACTCAAAAAAAAAAAACAAAACAAAAACAAAAATTTGTGTGACATGTTTCCGATCTTAGAATCAAATTCTCATTGTCAATAATCAATAATTAATTATGCAAAAATTAACATGTAAAATAGAAGCCTACTAGTTAGTTGGATAAAGCAGTGCTCCTGTTCGTTCCATTACAATAATATCACATATTACATAATTTCATGGAAAAGCATGTTAATTTCTCAATAACCTGAAAACTTTTTAAAAACCGGATTTTAACATTGGCAAGTTTGCTCTTTAACGTTTCTTCTAGGATGTCTAGAACCGTTACTGCAGCGCCAGCTAAGATCCGCCGCATGCAACGGTGTCTTCATGATTTACTTGGCTTTAGCAAGTCATGAGTGATAATATGATGCCAAAACTTCCATAGATTTTTTGCAAATATATAAATTCCTGCCTAAATTGCCAATTGAATGAAACTTGTTTCAAATTTTCAGTTTTTGAACTTAGATGCTAGTGATACTAATAACTCCCTAGATATCCTAGAGAACTAATAGAAGTAGTATGAAAATGTAAGGGTCATGGCCACCATAAGTTGTTAACAATATAGTTCTCTTCAAACCACATTAAAAGGTTCTCTCGTTAGTTCAACATTCCCTCTGCGTTTCCCCTGTTTTGTTAGATTCTATGTGACTTCATCTGTCTTTTAGATATTCTCTGCATACTTCGATGTGGTTGTTTTTTTCCCCCCCGAGGCCAAGTACCTTATAGGGTTGAAATGTCAAAAAAATTACATTTTTACCGGAAAAAAAAACTTAAGTTATTATCTCTCCAAGGCGTCACACAGGAAACAGAAATACAAAAACAAAGTTTCACATAATAGTATAATACAGTAAATGTATATGGAACATCTTTAGTTTTTAAAGTCTAACATCATTTTAATTTTGGTCCTTTAAATTTAAAATTAATGATTTTGATTTTCAAAAGTTGACTTCATTTTGGGTCATTTTTTTCCTTGAAATAATGTTTTTGGTCCACTTGTCTCAGGTATATCAAAACCCACTGTTTTTTTTTTCCCTTGACAGGACTCTCTCTCATCTTACATATGAAAAAATTCTACCTGTGATGAAGCTAAAACACTAATGCAGGTAAACAAATTTACATTAGTTTTTTTTTTCACGTTGTTCGAGTAAGAACTTAATTAAATAAATCTAAGGATGGTAGTAAATTGGTCTACCTACATCAATTTTACACACTGAAATCATCATAGTAGCATTGAATTGACTGAACTGTGAGCCTCACGTTATGACATACCATGTAGTGTAAAACGGGTTTCATGGTTTATAAACAGGACAAACACTATATTGTTCATTTTTCACCTTCTCTAAACTTTGCACCGGAAGATCACAGAAAACAAAAGCAAAGCCACAATACATTAAAAAAAAAAAAACAATTGGTGTATACCAAAGGATTTAGTTATAGAATAACCAGAGCAGGTAGCTTTATCCACTTCCCTTGATTTGATTGTTCTGACTTCTGATTACTTTAAAAATAAAATTACTGTATGTTTAGACAAGCATGAGAGATATTATGATGGGAGAATTACAATCAAATCTTATAAAAAAGAAATAATCACTAAAAAGTCCCAATAACAATCTGAACAGCTTATAATAACAAGTCCTACAAAGGAAATAACAATCTCTAGAACTTATTTTTCAATTGTTTTCGTTACTTGGAACCTCATTGTAATTCTCTTTATTATGATTTTTCAATCATCCGAGGAGGCTAGACGAGAGACCCTGGTAATCTAATACCCAGGAAACAAGTTCTATAGACCCTGTCTTGGCTCTAAGTTACCCTGTAGGATTCTAACGAGGTTTTGGTCTTTGGACCGTATTGTACATGAATATTGGCGAAGTTCGCTTCATATTCTATATACGTGGGAAGAAAACCAAATTTTATCTGTAACTATCAGTGACATATATAAAGAGGACTAAATTGAAAAACGAAACACCGTATATTTGTCAAGTTTCTGCGGGGAGCTTCTGAAATCTGAACTTGATGAATGCTATGGATACTACTACTTGAAGATCAACGTCTAACTAAACAGAGGATTTTGAGCTCCATATGTATACTACTACTACTATTAAGTTACTCTTCCGGTTCTTAATATAGGACCCAATTATTGAGTTGGTTTTGAATTTTTGGTCCTAAATATAAGATATATTTTTCATATTTATTAGTTTTCTCTAAATTATCCCTATAGATACTCCATCAATCATAATCAAGTAGAAGAAGAAGATGTGGTATTAAGAAAGATGATTATGGTATTTTAGGAAAAACATATCACATTTTTTATAATTAACTAACTTATCTAACTTCCTTAATTTAATCAAATTAGTTAAATAAGCCTTATATTAAAGACCGGAAGAGCATTTTTAAGGGATTATCTCTAAGTGGAAGAAGATCCAAATGGAAAAGAAAAAGAAAATAAGCTCTTGGATCGGCCTAGGGCCCAGAGACATCTTTCTCTAGCGAGACTCCACATTGAAATCCATTCTTTGTAAGTCAAATCGTACCAGACTTCTATGAGTATCAGTAGAAGATGAATGGAATCACTAACTAACCAGAGGATGGATTAATATGATAGATCATGGCATTTTGGTTATAAATACATACGCATAAAATACAAATATCTGATAATGCACAGGGTATGATCATGCATGTTTAAATATAAAGCAATGTTTTTCGGTAAACCTTTGATATGATATAATATTTCTATACTTAATATAAAATCTATTTAACTAATTTAGGCAAATAAATAATTAAGAAAATTAGTTAAATTAGTTATTTATAAAAAAAAATGTTTGGTTCCCCTGAAATACCCTCTCAAATTTTCACTTGAAAAAAAAGGAATACGCTATCAAATCATTTGCGTTGAAATTATTCTTGAATGCAAATTTTCTTACATCTACAATCAATGGGATAGTTTGGAAAAATATGATGAATATAGAGAAAATAAAATAGATTCATAAAGTTTTGCATATAGGATTAAATTCAATCTTTAACTAACTCTTATACTAGTAACATAAGTACCTATGTAGATGGATGAATACTCTGATCTTGATATTATTTCATACATAACATTTGATGAATAAAATATATCTAAAGAGTGTAATCAAAGAAAATGTATATATGTATATATGTATGTACATTGTTCGGGCACATAAATATAAGTTAAATACTTTCTTTACTGGCTCACCAATAACCATTAAATAAATACATACGTATATACACATTTTGTTTCAAAAAGGATAAGAACAAGATTACGTAAGGAAATATTCTGAAATTTCTAGATCCATTTTCTCTGTAAACAGCTGAATAGGCTATGATCATCCTATTAGCTGCCTCTGAGACAATACTTGTTTTCCCATTGAAGTTCCTGCCATATAAGCCATGCAGAGAGAGATTCTGAAATCTCTCAACCCAGAAAGAATTTAAATGCAACCAAATGGTGCAATGATTGACACAAGAGACACAGCCAAATGCTAGTTTTTGCGTCCAAAACCAAAATACATATGAATCTCTACGCAACAAAATGGCTATAAATTGACCCTTTCTCTCTGCCATTATCATTCCTCAATTCACTTATTCACTTTCTTTCTGGTTATTTTAGGGTTTCTCAGCCATGTCGACTTCAAGGAGGAGCAAGGGTCGCCAGAAGATTGAGATGAAGAAGATGAGCAATGAGAGCAACCTGCAGGTAACTTTCTCGAAGCGTCGCACTGGGCTTTTCAAGAAAGCTAGTGAGCTATGTACTCTTTGTGGTACTGAGGTTGCTCTCATCGTCTTCTCCCCCGGAGATAAGGTCTTCTCCTTCGGCCATCCCAGCGTCGACACCGTGGTGGATCGCTACCTCACGCGAGCCCCACCGCCACAGACCTCCGGCACCATGCAACTCATCGAGGCTCACCGCAACGCCAACGTTCGCGACCTGATCACCCAGTTCACTCAAGTCTCTGCCCAGCTAGACAACGAGAAGAAGCGCACTGATGAATTGAATCATATGCGAAAGGCCACTCAAGTATATATGGAGCTTTAATTTTAACTCAGAATTCAATCACTTTAGATTCAAACCTGTTCGTTCCGTTATTAATATGTTGTAATTGATAGGGTCAGTGCTGGTGGGCGGCCCCAATAGAGGAGATGACGAGGTCACAGCTTGAGGAGTTCAAGGCGGCGTTGGAGGAGCTAAAGAGGAGTGTGACGAGACAGGCTGATAGGATGGTGCTGATCCAGAGTGCAAGTAATAACTCATCGAATCAGTTTTGGTCGGAGGTTCATCTTCGAATGCGGTGGCTCCGCCGCCTCCACTGCCACATCAGTTGTTTCAGCCACCGCCAGCGGTGGTTCAAAATCCTCCTGGGTTTGATGGCAGTATGGTGCCACCACACCATGGATTTGGAGCACCAGGGTTTTACTGATCAATGATTAAGTCCTCATCAGAATCATTATGATGCCCTATAATTAGGATTTAAATTAAACTGTTGGTTTATTTTATTTTAGTTTCCTTTGGGTTTGGATCTTCTAAATTCTTGAGAAAACTCTAGTGCGAAAATTCAAATAGAACTGAAAAACGCACAATAAGTAAGTCCTCATCAGAATGATTATGATCCCTTTGAAATTTAACGCAAAGTTTTTCTGGAGATTGAAATCTGTTTTATTATAGTATTATGCTTTTTTTTTTTGGGTTTGGTTTTGGATTGTCAGTGTCTTGTGTTGTTATAGTGATATAGGATGTGTTGATCTGTTCTTCCTTTGTGACTTCATTCTATATGCTGTCAGGAAGAATTACATTGAATCATCGTGTAGTTTCATGTAGTTGTAATAAAAGGCATCTGATCTACATTTCATGTGTGTGTATAGTGTATACATAAGAGTAATTTCTTAAACTCTGAGCAACAATCGTGCTAATTAATGTATTAAATTAATTCGTTAAATTGAATTTGCGTGCATCCTCGTACTAATCATGAAAAATATGAGGAGAAATATGTTTTCTCCCTCAGAATGGGTAAGAAAACGATAGAAAGAAAAAATAGAAGAGAAAACTCATTCTATTTTCTCATCAAATTTGTTCTCTTTGCAAGACGAAGGAAAAAAAAAAAAAGAGACAACTTGTTATTCAGTTGCTCCTTTCGTTGTCCTTTGATTTTTTTTCTTCCTTCCAAATATTTTTTCTTATTTTTTTATCATTAAATTTTCCATAAAATTAATGATATTTTGATATTTTATATATCAATTAAAAATAGCACAGTCTTCAATTTTTTTACGATTTTTGTGTGTAATTTCTTATTAATCTAGATACAAATTCTTTAAAAAATTGAAAAATATATCATTTTTTCAATAAAATATTAAAATATGACTCATATTAGGTAGAATCTCATAATAAAAAAAATCTGAAAAATGGGGAGGAAAAAAGAAAGAAAGAGAAACAATGGAGAAGGCTAAGGCACCCTAATCCAAAATGAGAACTGAGACGTATTCCAGTATTCCCCCTCTGCCCCATGACCATGCCTCTCTTCCACCTCAAGCTACGTACCCTCCCATCTTCTCTGCTCTATATACAGTCCTCCTTGTCTACTTTTCATGTCCCTGCCTGGTGGCATATAGGAATCGGGCTACTGGATCTTACACAAAAATCAAAATTCATGGTTAAAAATAAAGTTCAAAACTTTGATTTCTTACAGCATTGCAAATACATACATATAAAAAAGCAACTTATACAACCATTTATAAAGTTGATTACTAAAATTACATTAAATTTTATACTATGAATTCATAAAGCTAAAAAACGTTGGACCTGTAATATATTTTATATATTAAAACTGGAAGACTAATACGAGTCCAAATATGGGGAATACAATAGACATTAAAAACATGCGCTATATCCATTAAAGTCACACGCCATAGCCGTTCTTCGCCTTCTTGTTCCAGAAACACCAAAAATATTCATAAAACACCTCAACATTATAACCCAGAGTAACCAAAAAACCCAGAAACGACCCTCAAAACTCTTGGCCCCTTTGATAGTCCAAATGAATAATGTAAAAGATAGGTTTTTTCAATCATATCACCGCCTATTTCATTTTGGCACTCACAATCATCAAAACAGCTACCAAAATCATGCCTTTTATGTACATCTCGCATCTACCTCCACATATGTTTTCCGCAGTTGCTCAAACCCCCCCCCCAATGTGAACATCGATCTTTTGCCAAAATGCGAAGAGGAAGGCAATGGTTTTAAATTAAAAACCATGGATGACTTGAGTTCAATTAAGAATGAGCGGTCTGATTCGTTCTTTCAAAACGATATCGTTTTGACTATTAGGCTAGGATATGAAGCATTAGGAGAAGCAACAAGAGGCACGTCAGCTCGCTCCCGTCTATTTCCATCCTTCCTAAGAGAAACAGCCAGCACAATACATGTATATATGTAATGCAGTCAACAATATAATTATGTTCCAACTAAAGAATATCCTCTTAATTTGCTTATATTGTTACGATTTATGATACATTATTGTTTACCCATAATGTCCATTATTGCCTTAATGAAAATAAATATGAGCAAGACAAGGCTTCAATATCGATCATACATATCCTTTGTGTAGTTAAGTTCCAACAGATTTTGACAGTGTGTCCAATTAACATTTGATAAGTAACTGCAGAAAACAACTCAATTAACTCTATAATTTTAATCTCAACAAGTCAAAATATAGTACCATAACATCCGATGATTAATTAAAATGATTTGCAAAAGTCAATCTTTTTATAATGCCAACTAGCGTATATGTAGGTGTAGGAGGTTTCACATATAATGTATATAATAGACATTAAGATAAAAGATTTTCTAACTCCCTCACTGGACTATATGATAAATAACAATAATATAACATTAAGATGGGACAATTAATTTGGTTAATCAAATGCCATAAACCAAACACATATATAAATACACATATATGTTTCCATTCCAAATAATCTCGCTCAAGTCCTAAACCCACTAGCAAGAAGCATTTCTTATCATCATCTTCTCTTTTTCGTTGAAACATGGCGATGAACAAAAAGTGTAGCTCAGGTCGTCAAAAGATTCCGATCGAGAAAATACCAAAGAAAAGTAATTTGCAAGTTACATTCTCCAAGCGCCGTTCAGGATTGTTCAAGAAAGCCAGTGAACTTTGCACGCTTTGTGGGATAGAAATCGCCATGATAGTATTCTCTCCAGCTAACAAAGCTTTCTCTTTTGGCCACCCAGGAGTTGAATCCATAATCGATCGTTACCTAGCTGCTCGAAAATCTACTTCGCATGCAGACCCATCGTCATCAACAGCAATCACTAGTGCTCATCGGAATTCTAATGTTTGTAATCTCAATTTGCAGTTAACACAGATTCTTAACCAGTTGGAGGTGGAGAAGAAGAGAGGAGAAGAACTCGATCGAACGAGGAAGGCGAGGCAGAGAGAGTTCTGGTGGGAGAGTCCAATCGATGAGATCGGTTCAGTTGATCAGTTGCAGCAATTGAGGATTGCAATGGAGGAACTTAAGAAGGATGTTTTAAGGCAGAAGAGTTTTGCGTCTTGTTCATCACACATTAATTTCGGGGAAGATTATGGATCGTTTGGACGTTACGATGACGTCTTTGAAAACAAATTATTATTAGGTGGTGCTGAGAATATTAATGTTGCTGCTAATTCGTCCAGTGTTGTTCCTGATGATGCCTTTAATAACCTTATTTACCAAAACCACGACATGGGGATCTTTAAGTTTACTTCTCAGTTCTGATCTTCTTGGGTTTTTTTTCTCCGAGGGACACATTAATGATCAACCAGGACCTCACTGGCCTTCAAGTTCAATACCTCCGTTGGTTTGCTTTTTTATTTCAATTTCCGATGATCATGATTCTGGAAGAATGTTATATTTCATGTAATTGCAAATAATTCTCCCTATTTATATATTTACATATGATCTTCTCAATGAATGTTTGAATTTGTTCATTTCTCTGTTCCGTTTTATCTCTCTCTCTCTATACACACACACACACACACACACACACACACACACAACAAGATATGTCAAATAATAGTGTCTTCGTGTGTATAAACCCTGTTTTGTGTATCCTTAACAAACATTTTTATAAATATTATATGATGTCTTTATATAGTTTTGTGAAGTTTTTAAGGATTAAGTCTTACAGTCTCTTTTGTTCAAAAGCAAAAAAATTTTAGTTCCTGAAAATCATTCCATTAGAATTAAACTAAAACCAACAAGTGTAATTCATAGTATGACTTGGGTTGTGGGTGTTTAAGTACAAAAACACAAGATATTCAGTCTGAGTCCATATCTGCAAAAGATATTATTAAGAAAGTTATCTTATTCCGGCTTCACAATACTCGAATTCCACCCATATCAGATATTAAATATTACTTTAAAAATTAACTAATTAAAATCCAGCCAAATAAATACAGTAATAATTAAGAAGGGTATATGGGATAATACGTACCCATCTCTCTTCTCATTCACAAGTCTTTTCTAATCAACAAGTGTCTACTATTATAATTACCTTTTTATTTGATGACTCATTCAATTTCCATTAATATGATCAAGAATATATTTCAATAATATATTATTCTCGATCTTTACTTTTGAATGATGAGTTAGGGAACCAAATTAAAAATTAGCAAAGACAAGCTCCAGCCTCACATTCATTTTCTTATTACTGTTAAAATTTGTCGCTCTTTACACCCAGAAAAAGGCAAGAATATATACGGCTAACATGCAATAATCATTACTAAAATAATCTTTTAAAAATATTTCCAAACTCATGGGTGGGTATTTTTTTTTTTAAAAAAAGGCCATGCGTTGACTTGTAAGCGATATCATCTTCAATTAAATGTTGAATCTAGATTTAATTTTTTTTATCCAAAATACTTGAGTAATTAATTGTATTGATTTCTAGTATGTATATCTCTACCAAGAAAAAAGGACTCAATTCAACACGTACGAGAGAAAACGAAATTGATTGGCTCATTTGATAGGTGGAAAAATAATCACAATTTACAATCCGTTTTATTGTTATTGAGATTTTTCTTACCGCACTACAAAATTAATTAATTTTCCTTCTCATTATACCCTTTTCGGTAATCTAGTATCATCAATTTCATCATTATATATTAACTCCTTCATATAATTTAAATTGGGTCGGTAGAAGTCAACAAAAATTTAATTCTCAAATAATAAATAAATATAAATATAAAACATAATTTATTATAAATCATATATTACTTTTAAATTATAAATAATATCACTCGTTCTAAATTTCATGCTCATTTCCCACCAAAAAAAAAAAGAAATACTCATTTACTAAAAAGACAATATATAGAAATACTGGTTAGGTGCCTGAATAATGTCCTGATATAAACATTTGTGTAGTTGGGGGGAAAAAAAAGAGTAAACATTTGTATCCAATTAAAATTTAAATTATACCAATTAAAAAGAAACTCAATGAAATTAAAGTTCAAAATAATTTCAATTAATTCTAGAGTGCTTCTGATTAAAAGAATTAAACTTAAATTATCAAATCAATATATATATATATATATATATATAATACAACATATTCTCTATCAAGTTCTTGTTAACTTGGCTACAGACCTTCACACTATAAAGGTTAGCTTTTACAAAAATAATCGAATCATTAGCGAAAAATATATTAGAAACAGAGATAGCCTTTTAGATAAGCCTAATATGAAGGATAACAAATAGGTAAGGAAGTAACAGATTTCCCTGCCTAACTTTAGGAGAGGGCTCAAACCATTAATTAGCACCTCTATCTATTAAGTTAATATTATTAGTAAGTTATATATGATTAAATATTTGTCAAAAGTTTAAATATTGACTTATCTTTTTTTTTTTGGCTATATATAATTTACCTTATTTTTCAGTGGAATCAAATTACAAGAAAATTTCATGGTAATAAATGAAGGGTTATATTAAAAAAAATAATCTAAATTAATCAGCATAAATGTTTACTGCCTTATGATAATTAGTGTCAAAACTATAATTTAAAAAAAAAAAGCAAATTAAAGGCTCATTTAATATCGACTGAAATAAAAAGCCTCTTCAAAGGAGAAAAGAACGGAATTGAAATCCATTATCATAATGATCAAGATGTTAATATTAATTATAATTATAATTTAATATCTAATAATTAAGTCAAACTATATTGAAATATTAAAATAATAATACAATATTATATAATCTATATGATTCAAAATCTTTGGAGGGATACAAATTGTAGGGTTATTAGTTAACTCAAACACAGACCTTTTTATAATATATAAAGACCTAGTAGCACAACTTTTTTTCCTACCTCGATCACTCGCTTTCTTCTTCAACAAATCATCATTTTTCCTTGATCAGCCATGGATATCATAAAACAGACCAAGAAATCCACAACCACAGGTCGCAAGAAGATCGAGATAAAGGAGATAGACAAGGACTCCAACAAACAAGTCACCTTCTCAAAACGACGCACCGGACTGTTCAAGAAAGCCAGCGAGCTCTGCGTCCTGTGCAATGCTCAGATCGCCATGATCGTGTTCTCACCGGCCGACAAAGCCTTTTGCTTTGGCCAACCCAACGTCGAAGCCGTCCTCCGCCGCTACCTCCGTGGTGGAGCAGAAGATAATCACGACGCTAGCGACTTCAGTTCGGCGTCTTACGAAGAACTTAACAGACAACACGAAGAAGCAGCGAGGGCATTGGAGATGGAGAAGCAGCAACTGGAGGAGATCGAGAATGTGGCTAAGGTATGGAATAGAGGGAACTGGTGGGACGAACCGATTGATGAGATGGATTTGGATGAGTTAGAGCAATATGTGGCGGCCATGCATGAGTTAAGAAGAAAGGTGGCTGAGAAGGCCGATGAGTTAATGAGGGTTTCGATAATGCCGTCGGTGCCATCGTTTTATGGAGAAAGTTCATTGGGTGGTCTTCTTATCGGAGGCGGCGGAGGCTATGGTGGTTTTCCTAACCAGTTTGGCGGCGGCCTTGTTGCTTATCATGACAAGTTTGAATTTTGACGTCTGAAAAGTGCAATAAGGTTCAGAAATAATAGAGAGGCGATGAGATCGTCTCGATCTCTTTGCACTTGCATTTTTTTTTTCCCGTTTGCCTCAATGGAATAATAATGAGTTTGTTATTGTTGTCATTAGTTCATTACCTCAATGTCTCTCTCTCCCAAATTTAAATTTGTTATTATTTTAGTTTTACTTTTTCAAATTTTAAACCATAAGTTTTGGTTCCTAAAATTTCTTCTGATCTCAAACATTTATTCATATAATTAAATAAAAATTAGGATCATTTTTCCTTTTGAGAAACCAAAATCTATGGTTTAAAACTTGAGAGACCTCAAACCAAAAAATACTTAAGAGACCAAAACCAAAATAATCAGTACAAACTTGAGGAATTGTATTAACCTTACATTTTATTACCAATTAAGCAAATCAAAATTAGCAAGTTCGAAGTGAAGACCATTCCAAAACCTCCACAGAAGTTGTTATTTTAAGAAAACCAGTCCTAAAGAACAAATCTCTTTTATCATGGGTTGGCTGTTATCCAAGTGGTTAAATTTTTGCATATATCTGCAAATTATATAGTTATTATTTTATGCATAGTTATTAATATTGTTTATTAAATATTAATAATTGCAGGAATATTATAAACCATTTATTAACATCTTGATAATCTCAATTTTGAATGCCATGGCATGATGAAGGTGGTGGTTAATTTTATACATGTAGAGGCAATAAACTATTTCATTCAATCATTCTCCCCAAAATTTAGCCTCCAGTAGCTTTAATAATTGGATGCTGATTAATTATGAATTGCTGATATTGAGTTTGAAATTTGAATGTGATCAAATTATTAATATCAATGTATATAATTTATAAAAATAAAAAGTCCTTCTGACAATTGTGGTCTTAGAAAAGTCACAGGGATAAGGACATATTGCGGTTTACCTTGTCCCATGCTAAAAAAATGTATATTATGAAATACTAGCTTCATTCCTTAATATAAGACCTTGTTTGACTTTTATTTTGATTTTAAATATAAGACTCCAATCCACTTTGCCTGTTATATTTATGCATTTTTTTCCCAATATAGTTCTTTTAACAATGGTAGTTCTAGCTAATACACTTGATTAACAAGGATATTTTAAGAAAGATAATATCTATTTATTACAAATAACTAACTTAACTTTTTTTTTCTTAATCTCCTCAAATTAGTCAACTAGCTCTTATAATTAGGACCGAATGTAGTAACTTAGTTCTTAATTTTGCGGTGATACTTTGATATTAACATTAAACATATAAGATTATATCTGCTAATTTAATTAGATTTGCAATTATTAAACTTCACACCAGCCTCCACACAAATTTGGCCAAGAAAAACTAGCCTCTCCCACTCATTCAATGGCTAACATTTTTATTAAGACACTAACGCGTTTTTGAGACATGTTTCATTTTAATTGGTTACATAAAACGAAATCAATGTCGTCATTGTTCATCGCGTCAACTTTATTAATACAAACAAAAGACGGATTAACACAAACGTGTCACCAATTTATGTGTCTGCTTTAACTTAGAAATATAAATATATAAGCAATTTTATTATAATAATGAATTTGAAATAAAATATACTCCTTATATGGCGTATGAACAATGTGATTTGTTATATGTTTTATTATATATGATGTGTATTGACATTAATTACAAAAAGATCTATTATGCACATATGAATGAAAATAAAATGACAGAATGTCCTAATGTACTAAAAGTTTGATAAAAAGCAATGAGGGTGGGTTAATAGAAGATACTTAGTTGCTTCTAATGTGATGAATTTGAAAGATATATCACATTTAGTGCCAAATAATATCTCTAACACGATTTCTCTTATAAGAAGATACACTTAGGTCTTGAAAAAAAAAAGTTTAAGGGACAAAAATGAAGACCCACCAATTTTAACACGATTAAAAAAATAAGTGAGAAAAAAACGTAGAGCATTTTTTTAAATACCCTTTATTTATTAGAGGCAAATATGAAAAAAATTTTAGCCATGTTAATGTGAAAAAATAAAAATAAATAAATGCCCTTATATCTTGAGCGAGATATTAGGAGAGCGAGGTTCAAAATTTGAGCCGTGATAATATTAAAAAAAATATTTTTAATAATCAAAAGTAAAATTAAAAAATACAAATCAGCGAGATAGCGAGGTCGATTTTTTACTTTTTTTTTTGCCAAAGAGATATTTTTATTACTAAAAGAACACTTATACTATTAAACAAGATATAATTAAAAAAAAGCAAATACAGTTCATGAGCCTCGGTCTTTATGGATATTTTTTCGGTTACACCATTGCAGACAATATATGTGCCTCGTAAAATCAGACTTTTTGTTATGACTTGACCCCTCATCCAAAAAAAATATATTGAATTATTCATAATATTACCTCCTATACTAATTATAAGAGTTAGTTGATTAATTTGATGAGATTAAAGAAATAAATTAAGTTAATTATTTACAATAAATATGTGTTATCTTTCCTAAAATATCCTTATTAATCAAGTATATTGGTTAGAACTACTATTATTAGAAAGACTATTTTAAAAATATATATAAATATGAGAAACAAAATGGATTGTGGTTTTATATTTAGGACTAAAATAAAAATAAAATTATATCTTATATATTAAGGAGCAGGGATAATATATCAATATAATCAATATATAAAATTTGCAGCAAGCTACATATCTATGAGTCATGACGTAGGACTCTTGTCCCATGTAGTTTTTTTTTATTTTAATGGGAAATAGTGCAACTTTTATTTTAATCTTATAATTTCTTTTATTTATTCCAAGAGAAATTTCATATTAAAACTAATTATAATATCATGAATGAAATGATAAAAAGGATATTTAGTTATTCTAATTTATACTAGGGGACAGGAATTTCTTCATCCTATCCCTTCGTCCTTATCACAACTATAAAGAGAAAAAAAATTGAAAATAGTTGGCAAAAAAAATATTGAAAATATAAAGTTTACGACAAAAGGAAAAAAATCCAACTTGTTCCAGGTTGTCCAATTCAGTTATCATACCCAGCAATGTACTTCAGTCTTCACTCTCGATAACTGCGTTATTATCGATTCTTCCCTCATTCCACACACCCGAAAACCTCCATGGATCCGTGTCCTTTTGTTCGGATCCTCATCGGAAACTTCGCCATCACATCTCCGGCGACGTCGAGGTCTTCTGTCCCCGGTGAAGCACCCCTCTCGAGTTCCCCGTATTTCTGCCGGATTCAACTCAGGGACTTCGATTCTCATCAGCATCATCACTTCGCCACCGTTCCTATCGTCTCGTCAAACACCGACGAGACCTACCCTCCCTCAGTTGCTGCTATCTTCGATTTGAGCAAGCTTCAGATGGAGAAACTTATGGCGACCAAGAATCCAGTAATGAAAATTTCCGTTTATGAGTCTCGGCAGACTCCGTCGTGCTCATTCGATACAGCCAAATTATTGGGCAAAATTTCTGTGCCGTTGGATCTGAACATGGCTGAGTTTCGAGCGTGTATGTTTCAGAACGGCTGGGTTGCGCTTGGTGGGAAAAACAGAGCATCTTCGTCGGGGCAGTTATTGCATGTTACAGTTCGCGCCGAACCAGACCCGAGATTCGTGTTCCGGTTCGACGGTGAACCAGAATGCAGCCCTCAGGTGTTTCAAATCCAAGCGAGTGTGAAGCAGCCCGTATTCACTTGCAAATTCAGTTTCAGAGATCGCAGTGTGAGTTCGAGGTGAGTGACTTACAAGTTTTTGGCTCGGTAATTGTAAACTGTTAATGTTCAAGCTGATCAAGAAAAGGATATGAGAAGCTGAGAACCTTTCGATTCTGCTATGATTTTTGTTCTTTCCTTTTCTTGGATGTCAATCAATGGGTATCGTATCTATTCCAGGTCATCTATGTCAGAGCCAAGCAATTCAAAAAGCTGGTTGCCTTCACTAACTTATCAGAAAGACCATTCAGCGGAGCGAAAAGGATGGTCCATCACAGTGCACGATTTGTCCGGTTCACCCGTAGCGGCGGCGTCAATGATAACTCCATTTGTCCCCTCGCCGGGGTCTCACCTGGTAAGCCGATCCAATCCCGGCGCGTGGCTGATTCTCCGACCCGGAGGCAACGGGACGTGGAAGCCATGGGGCCGCCTGGAAGCGTGGCGCGAAAATAACAGCCCCAATGCTGTCGGTTACCGGTTCGAAATCCTTCCGGCCGTCGCAGCTCCGGTCATGCTCGCATCCTCCACCATCAGCTCGCGACATGGCGGGAAATTCGTCATTGACGTCACCTCCGGCGTCACTCCGATCGACAGCCCGAACGGCAGCTGGGACTTGGGTTCTGGATCGAGGTCCGGGTCTGGATCAGGGTCGGAATTCGGGCTTGAACAGGAACTCTTATACAGAGGGTTCGTAATGTCGGCGACGGTGGCAGGTGAGGGAAAGTGTAGCAAACCGGAGGTGGAGGTCGGCGTGCAACTCGTGAGTTGCACAGAGGATGCTGCGGCTTTCGTGGCTTTAGCCGCAGCCATGGATTTGTGCATGGACGCTTGCCAGTTGTTCTCACGGAAGCTCCGTAAGGAGTTGAGGCAGTAGCCTCTGTCGTTTGATGCGCTAGAATTTCGAGGAACAGGATGTCGTTTCAACGTCATGGTGTCGTTTATTCTGAAGCACTTTAAGTTTGGTAGAGTAGCGAGTAGTGACTAGTTCTTTTTTATATAAAATACAATGCACAGTGTAAAATGACTTGGCAAGATCAAGTTTTTTAAATTTTGTATTTGGGAATTGCAGGTTCCTTTTTGCGCTGACAGATCAAGTCTTGTTATCTTGTAAATTATAGTGGGTTTGTACAGTATTTTAAATTCAAGGTGTCCTCTTTTGGAATTTGATGCGAGATGATATTTGAAGAATCCTATGATTTGCCCGTGCGAAGTCGCTCTGATATGTATAATCATATTCCAACTGACATTCATGCACCTGATATGGCCAAAAAAAAAATTTGAAACTTTTTTTTTGGTAAATGTCAGCGAGGGAGCACCAAGATTCAAATCAATAATATTTTTATGATGCTCTTGCTATTTCGAATTTAAAATCTTGTTAGGAACTCAAATGGATAATTCAATTGATTTAACATTTAGCTTGTTATTAACATGAATATTAATTATCAGGAATACAACGTTTAACATTAGTCCAAGTTAGTGAATACTTAAGTCTGAAGATTGCTATTTTTTTAATAAAAAAAGTTAAAGCAAAAAGAATATTGTTCTTTTGTTTATGTCAAAGATCACAATCCATTTTGCAGCGTAATACACACAAAAAATGCAAAGGTTTTATTTAGTTCAATCTAATTCAATGGTGGAGTTTTGGGTGGATTTAAATGATGCTTCTATTTATTATTTTCTTTTGTTACATCATTAATTCAGAAAAGAAAGTTAAAGATGAGAAATCTCTCACAAATTGCAGCTTTTCGCTGTTTCTTTTCTTTTCTTTCTTTTTACTTGTCAGAACTTTTTGCTGTTTAAAACAGCCAAGCATGAAATGCTTGCATCAAAATGAAGCTTGATTTTCTAGAGAAAAAGGAATCTTAATTTATTTTCTATTCGCTTTTCAAAAAATAAAAATAAAAAACTAAAGTAACATGTGTCAGTTCATGCACGTTCCTCTATTGGAAGTGGAAGGGATTTAAAAGTACTCTAATGAATCTGAAGGGAAGTGTATCAGAAGAAGGTTCGTGTCTCACACTTTGACTAAGTCAACCAATCAGTCATTAAATGCCTTGCTGGATTCTGAAGTTTTACATAGAAACAGGGCACATGCTGAAGCAGAGCGAACTTGAGGACCCAGCCTCCTGTAGCTGCTTTGAATGTTGGATGTTCTTCGCTCCATTTATTTCCCTGTGATACCGTTAGTGCCGTACCATGCCAGAAACAGAGAGTCCCATGCAGCTTCTGGAACTAACACAAACCTGATTCATAAATTGTCTGAGAGAAATCATCCAGGTTGATATGCAGGTGTTCCAAGTTCCATTTATCTTTGATTCATAATTAAGGAATTAGTGTACGTTATATACTCATGAAATTCAAATCTCTTCAAGTTCGCCCTTCTGAATTTCCACGGAGTTCAACGGCAAGACACGTAAACCTTAACACACCTTAATAAATAAATAAGCAGATAGTACATGCATCTTATTGATAGAAATGCAACTTCAGAGAAACTTCATAGACGGGAAAATTCAGAAGATCCGTTTCTTATATTAATTAGTATGATTATTTTATATGTTTGAATACATTTTATTCATCATGTCTCTCCCTGACTTGCCTCTACTTCTCTTTCAGACTCTCCGCTCTGCTTCGCCATAAACTATCATATCAAGAGACAGAGTCCGGGCAGCTAAAAGAAAGGAAGTTCGAAAGGCACTAGTCAAGAGAAGCTATCGTCCTCGTCGCCTACATGAGGGGTCATGGAGCAAAAACTACAGTAGGAATTTATAAGAGTAAACTAAAATTGTGTCCATGGTGGAAAGTCGAAATTAATTATACAGATCAAAACATTCACACTAAAACCCACTAAGCTACATTTGTACCTTTGGTAGCTTCTAGTAGCACATCTCGGGTCAAACAAAAAGATCTAAAAGTGAAAACAGTGTGACGTACAGAAAACAAAGGTCAGAAGGAGGGATAAAGAAAAACTGAGGAAAGCTTTCCCATGAATCCAATGGCCATCTTTTAAATAAATGCTATTCTGCCGCAGTTTCATCAAGAATATTTCCCGCGTTTCTAATATCTGGCAATGCATGTTCATCAAGAATATTCGCCTCATCGTCTCTAATATCTGGCAATGTATCCAGGTCAGTTTGAACTTCTGTCACGTCCTTGTGGATATGAGAATCAGAAACATCAATGGCATCTTGTTCAACTAAATCTGAATCTCCGCCATTCACAGAGGAAGAATCTGAGGTTCTATGAGTTGAATCCAACTGGGGATCATCCATGGACTTCTCATCCTTCCTGGCATCATTGTTCTCCTCAGCATCTGAACTATTCTGAGTTACATTTGTTGCAGCCATTTCAGATTGAACCTTCGACATCTCATCCACAGAGGCATCGATATTTTCCTTTGCATCAGAATTTACAGAGTTGTTCTGAGTTTCATTTGATGCAACATGATTTATTGTCTTGTCTGATTGACCCGCTCCAGAATTAGAAGATTCCCCTGCATTTCCAGTTTTCATGGAGATTGTGGAATTAGTAATTGGCAGGTTATCTTCCCTGTCTCCATGACTCTGCTCTAATTCCTCTGTTTTCCCATTTTTGATGCCATCGTTGGCTGTCATATCCACTGTCGTATTTTGAGAACTTTCAGATTCAGATAATATCACCGTTTTATTCTGTTCAGAAGAACCTGCTGTGTTGATACCGTCTCCAGTTGAGTTGTTGATAGCCTCAGTGATCGCAACAGAGTGGTTACTGCTTACTTCTAGATGACCATCAGAGTTTGCTGTGGCAGTGGTATTTACATTTGGGTTACTGACTGAGTTGGACAAAATGGTGTCCCCACTTTCTTTACCAGTGGCATTCGACACATTCCCACTCTCCATTTCATCTGCCGTAATCTTACCTGAATCATTTTGATTCACACCGCTTACCTCTGTATAATTAGGCTTATTCTCCTGTTTCACAATACTCATTTCAGAGTTTTCATTGGAGTTTTCTGCACTTAGAATCACAGATTCAGTGCTAGTAGTCAGGGCATCATGAGCTACAGCACTGGAAGCATCATCCGCCATGTAATGTTCCTCCCTTGCCTCATGTGTGCTTTTGTCTTCAACTGAACTGTCCTTTTCCTCATCCTCACCATCTTCATTCTCCTTCTCATCACTCTCTTCTTTCTCTCTCTCTCTATCCTCATCCATCAACTCTTCATCACGGTCGATATCCACTTCTGGTTTTTCTTGATCATTTTCTTCTATCTCCTCATCCCCTCCTCCTCTTCCATCATCCTCTGATTCTTCACTCTTGTTTTCTTCCTCATCTCGTTCTTCTGCTCCATGCTTGCTTTCTTCTTCTTCATCTCGTTCTCTAAATTCATGCTTGTCTAGATTTTCTCCCGATTCATGCTTGCTGCCTCCTCCTTCTTGTTCTTCATGTTCATGCAAATTTCCTTCATCATCTAAATTATTTTCATCTTCCTCTTTTTCGTCATGCTGTTCAGATTGAATTATATCATCTTTAAGAGGTTGAAGATCTTTTCTACCAAGTTTTGGAATCTGATCAGCATTCTGCATTCTGACAGCCTCCTTTGCATCATTTTCATCAAATTCCTTCTTCTTATCATGAGAGTGCTTAATCTGGTAGATCAACCAGAAACAAACACCAAGCAGCAGAATAATTTGCAGAACATTCTTTAACTTGATGCCTTTGGACCTGTGGTTTCTACTTGGTGTGCGTTTTATCATGATTACTTTCTTCTCCAAACAAGGGCAGGCTACCTGCTTTGAATGGTAAATGCATTATTAAGGAACTGAGGAGGCCGTGATAATTGATTTAAGAATAGCACAAATACTTACACAGAACATAAAGAGTACACACAAAACACAACTTATCTTTCCCAGATATTTGCGTCAACAAACACCTAAAAAAAAAAAAACTCCCAGAGCCCTTTCGATTCTGATCCATTTCTTATCCAGTATCTTCGTTAAATTCGTGTAATTGGCCCTCTTTGCCACAAGATAGAAACCAAAGCAACGAAAGCAACAGAAAAATGTTAAATTTAAACAGGAAAATATTATGTCCCTTGTTTAGCATTTATCCCAAAAAAGCAGGAAAAGTTAAGGCAAATGAGAGATAAAGAAAATTACAGTTCCTTCAGTATGCAGCATCCGCAATAAAATTCTCCACAGATGCAGGTCACAGCAACATTTATAGCAAGAAATTTGTTTTCAAGCACCATTTTCAATCCCAAAATACAATTATGATACAAGGAGATAGCAAGTGAACCAATAACAAAAAAAAGTTGCATCCTCAACTTCCATGGCTACTGATACAACCGGTTCATCCTACTACGCCCGCAAAAGAACTAGTTTACTTCTTCCCAATTACCAAAAAAGCAAAAATAAGATCAAGTGAAATAATAAAGAGTACAAGAAGCCCGTTCTTTGAGGTGGAAACAATGTTATCACCCTTCCGCTATACTCCCTTCTTCTCTTAACACCAAAATCTACGAGTTACGTACATTATACAAGGAGAAACCCGGAAACTATGGGGTTTCAAGAAAACAACCCAAAAGAACAAAATATGGAACAGAAAGAAAAGAAAAGGTGTAGAGGCAAGAATCAAACCCTAGAAAAACACCCCAGGAAGCAAAATAAGAATTCTACACACAAACTTCATTCCAAGATTCACAAATAATACAAATCACAAAGGCAAAGATTCCATAGCAGATCACCGGAGAAGATAAACCAAGGCCGTAATTTTCACAGCAAGACCCCATCTTCCATATGGAGTAAGAAGAAATGCCAGACCCATTTTCCAGGAAGAATCAAACAGATAAAGGGTGTACTGTGGAAAATTACCTCAGCAAAAGAAGGAAAACCAAGCATCGAAAACAACATCAGGCAAACACATGATAGAGAAATTCCAGAAATGAGTGAATCAAGACATTGTACGAAAAAGAAAGAGTGGAGAGGGGGAATTACCGGAATAAGGAGGCAAGGCGAAGAAGGAAGGAAGAAAATCACAAGTGAGAAACGAAGAGAGAGTGAGAGAGGAGGAAGCAAAAGTAGTGAAACTAAGGAGGATTGGATTTATTAGGTGGGAAAGTGTTGTCTTTGAAGTGCGTGAGCCAAGGTCGGAAGGAACATCCAAGCAGAAATGCGATCGATAACAAGGAAAATGAATTGACTTGTGCTGGATTTGGGAATATCAACCTCACCCACAAAACGCAATAATCAAACGAAGCGTTGTCCCTTTCTTCATTTGTCTCGCAAGTGAAACTTGCCGTAATTTTTAATTTTTAGTGATTTATTATTAACATTTTTAACCAGCACTAGTGATATTACGACTATTAAAAATTTTAATAATTTAAAAAACTTCCTTTTATGTTAAAACTAAATCAAACTTCACACCAGATGATGAAAAATTTACTTCAACTTTTATCACAAAAAAAAAGATATATATTATTAAAATACACAAAATACCTTTTGTCTTTTAGGGATGCTAATAGGAAAATATTGGAATAATAAATAATCTTCACTTGGATTCCTCAGTTGCTGCCTGGCCACAACCATAATGGTTACTAAAATTAAGCATGGCTGTATTAATTAATTCTGTGGGGGTAAATTTGACTGAGAGTTCTTTTTTCTTTCTAAATGATGATTGGTAAATAAAATTAATTACTATTTGTCACTGCCTTATTATCAATTTTATATTTTTAATTGTTATAGATGAGTGAGTTTTTATGCCAGCTAGAACTGTCATTACCAACTAGGTGAGGCATATAGAGCCGTGCATAGAAGAAAGTTAGATCTTGCAAATCCAGCTACCTCCCACGGTCCCACATATTATTATTATTATTTTGGGTTCAATTTTGTATAGTTCTCTTCCCGTCCTTTTTTTTATTTTTTATGAGCAACCTTAAATTTCAGATCAAAAAATTAGTTATAAATAAAAATGAGAAGTTTTTTCCCTTCAAAATACCCTTATTTATGGGAAAAAGAGTGAGTATAAGAAACAAAATAAACAATTATTATAATAAAAAGAATTATAAAAGAGAGCAAATGTGGATGGAGAGAGACGACGGTTTAAGAAATGAGATAATAAATATATTTGATATTAAAATAAGTAATTAATAGGACAAAATAGGAAATTTGCTAAGAAAATTTAAAACAATTTGCAAATATTACTTGTATTTAAGAATAAGAGGATGATGGTAGTTGTTGTTTATAAAAAATTAGGGGGGAAGTATTTGTGAAGGCTTTATTTTAAAGGGAAAAAGCAAGAAAAATACCTTAGTTTCTGTGAAACAAAGATTTGCATTAATTGAATTCCCATTTCCCGTGTCTTGCTGTGGCTCTCCCAACCCAAGTGGCGAAGGCTTGTCCCTTTTACCGTGCTTTCATCAAACTTTTAATCCAAAATTCATGTCCAAATCGCTTTCTAGTCCCTCTGTTTTTCTTTTTCTTAAGAAAACCCTTCATTAATTAATGGAGCAGTTAGCATTTTAGCCCCATATTCGTCATTAATGCCTAACTTTTAGGGGATATATTTTATGTGGCTGGTTTATTTTTCTCCGGACACAAACAAAATTACATTTAATTAATATTTCGATGATCATTAATAGCAATATTTCTATAGGGTCATCAACACCATGACAGTTTATTATCAAGACAATATTTTCTTTAATTTGCATCTTTTAATTTGTATCTTTTTCTAAAGAAAAATCACTTTTTAAGTATTTAAACTTTCTGACCCATGAAAATGTATTTTCACTTGGCTTTGTTCGCATCTTTGGCACTCAAGATTCCTTAGTCTGTACATAAATATTTTCCTCCCAGGCCAAGAAAGGCAATGCTAAATTAAAGTGGAGACAAATATATATACCAAACTTGTTTCCAGGCCTAAAGGAAAGGTGGGGAAGGAATAAATCTTCTGAAACCATCAGAGATATGGAAGCTTTATACACCAAGTTTGTCCAACCTCAAAACAAATCTGTAGCCAGCTTTTCACTTTTCTGACCTTTCTGCTTAGACCAGGTGGCAAAAAGCACTTGCTGAGAAAGCCTATGTGTGTGTCCGAAGCTTGGGATATATGCATAAACACAATATTCTTGGTTCACTAGTTACACTTAAAGCAGGTTAATGTTTTATTGGTCGCCCATATGTTATATACAAGTGGCATTTACTTGGTTCTAATCGTAGCTTCATTAAAGACTCCTAGTGCTAAGCGTCTTTGCTTGCTTCCAAAGATATTCTTTATAAACCCAAAATGAAAGGAAAAGGTTTCATGCAATGCCTATATATATAGCCTTTTTACAAGCCATCTGCATTTCTTTTGTCAGAGGAAGCCATGACCCACAACATTATTCTGAGATTCATCCTCCTTAATATCACTGGGCTAGTTTGCTTGGGCTTGTTTCAAGTCTCAGTTGCATCTGTTGTTTCAACAGGGGACTTCAATAAGGACTTCTTTGTCGCATGGTCTCCTTCCCATGTCATCAATTCTGCTGATGGACGATCCAGAAGCTTGAAGCTAGATCAACAATCTGGTACCTACTCTCTCTCTCTCTCTATATATATATATATACACACATATATATATGCATGGCTCGGTGGGAGTACGTATTTCCTCAGTTAAATTGTCAAAGTTGCTTTTTAACCCATGAGTTTCGATCTTTTTCTTTTCAGGGGCCGGTATTGCTTCCAACAAGATGTTTTTGTTCGGGCAAGTGGACATGCAAATTAAGCTAGTTCCTGGTTATTCTGCTGGCACGGTGTTAGCCTATTACGTGAGCAATTCTTAAAAATTTCCACTCGTCTCAGTCTACGAACTTTCTTCTATCTTTTCAATCATTCAGGAATAGTTATAGGGGATCGAGACTAATTAGTTTGGCATTGTTGTGCAGTTGACCTCAGATCAACCGAACCGTGATGAGATAGATTTTGAGTTTCTGGGTAACGTGACTGGGCAGCCATATATTGTTCAAACCAATATATATGCAGATGGGTTTGATAACAGAGAGGAGAGGATTTATCTGTGGTTCGATCCTACCAAAGACTTTCACACTTATTCTGTGCTTTGGAATCTGCACCAGATTGTGTAAGATCCATCTCTTATGAAGAATGAAAATCTCTCCTTTTTGCATTCATGCATGTTCATCTTCTTTCTTTGTTGGAGATTACCATCAAGCATATCATATTTTGTTAGAGACAGCTCCTTTCAGAATACTCGACAAATTTCACGATCAATCTTCAATCCTTGAGGGACTAATTTTAAAAAGATCAAAAGTATGTTAATGTTAATTCACACTTAACTTTATGCAGGTTCATGGTGGATAAGATTCCTATAAGAGTGTATAGGAATCACGCAGATAAGGGAGTGCCATATCCAAGATGGCAGCCGATGAGTGTGAAAGCGACACTGTGGAATGGAGATAGCTGGGCAACACGAGGTGGCCATGACAAAATTGACTGGAAAAAAGGTCCCTTTATAGCTTCCTTAACAAATTACAAGTTAGATGGATGTGTTTGGAAGGGTAATCCCAGGTTCTGTAGGGCAGCTAGCCCTACAAATTGGTGGAACCAGTACAGCTTCAGCACACTGAGTTCTTCTCAGAGAAGGTGGCTCAGATGGGTCAGGAAGTACCACATGATTTATGACTATTGCCAAGATTATCACAGGTTCCACAATCATCTTCCCACAGAATGTTCACTTCCCAAGTACTGATAACTTCATTTCAGAATAGGAGATCAAATTACCAGAAATATTTATTGAAGCCTGTATTCATGAGTGTGTGTGTGTGTGTAGTCTTTGTGGTGAAGCATTCTGGTAACCCAGATGCATGTCTGGGCCTGCTTATATTTTTCTTATCTGTTTTGTTGAGAGGATTGTCTTTCTTCCTGGTTGGATTATAGCTAGAATATGTTGGGAGAACATTGTTTTTACTGCATGGTTCACAAGCCAGAATTCAACATATTATTTTATGTGACTTATTTGTTATTATTTACATTCTAAAGATGAGGCTATTTAATTTAACAGCATTTGAATTTTGAGGGATGACTCTATTTGTTATAGAAACAGATTTTTTCTTTACTTTTAATTTTTTCCATTTTTATATATTAAATAGAATTAAAATTAAAAATTTATTAAATTTTAAGACAAAGATTTAAAATTTCTTTTAATTCTAATAAATTATATTAAAAATACTTTGTAAACAAGACTTGGGCAATAACGAGTGAGGTTTTGTCTGATCAATGTGGACCAATCAACATCTTTTGGAACAGCATCCCCGGGATCCAATTCCTTACTTGTATCAAAAGACGGATAAGGTGTCCATCTCTCTCTTTGGGCCTAATCTTTTTTTTATTTGATGTATGTTCACCTTTAAATAATTTTTGTGAGAAATATTATGAAGTCAAATATAATTATTAAATTTTTTTAATAATAACATAACAGCATGTAATAACAAGTTTTAGGACAATAAATAACAATTACTTACTTATTATTAAGAATTAATTATTTTTTAGGACCTTATTGTAATTCTTTCATAATTATTTTTGATGATTAGCTTGTAGATAAAACAAAAGATATGATGGTGTATTTTATTTGTAAAATGAAGTAGTTTTATCAAAAAAATCAAAATTACTCTTTGTGCTTCTATTTATAATATTCAAATTTAGGAAGGAATATGATCCATTTGGTACTCTTTTTGTCCCTTATTATAAGATCTAATTTTTTGAATAGGTTTGTCCCTTTTTATAATATCCTCTTTGAATTTGTTTGAGCATTTAATGTAGTGTCACCTATTTTACCTCAAATTTAATATATTTAATATATTTTCTTTTTTCATTTATCTCACTATTACTCTCTCATATTTATTCATTTACATATAGGGATATATTTGGTAAAAAATTATATTTGCTATATATTAATTGCTTTTAACTAATTTTAACTATTTTCTTAAACAATATAATTTAGTTAAAAAGATTTTATAATAAGCGACAGGGTAGTATGTTGTAATTTGGGTTGGTGTCAACATTTAACGCATTTTTTTCGATTTTATTTTTAATTATTTATTCTTTTGTCTTTGTCATACTTTTTTTTATTGCATTTTCCCCATGCATTCTTTGTTATCTCAGTTTTTCTCCTTTGTTGTTTCTCTCACTTATCTTTATAAATAAGAAAATATTTAAAAAAGTATTTTTTTTACATATTTATTATTTTTAATTGATTTGTGTTATACACAAATCAATTATTTAAAGTTTATAATAAGAATACTAGGGATTACATATGGAAAAAAAATCAAATTTTCATGTAAAAAATAAAAAAATCCGATAATTATCAGAATGAGATGATATCCTCCACATCTTTTGAGATACTCATTCTGTCCTTTATTATAAAATCTTTTTAACTAAATTGTGCGGTTTAAAAAAACAGTTAAAATTAGTTAAAAGCAATTAATATGCAGCAAATATAATTTTTTTTCAAACATACCTCTATATATAAATGGGTAAATGTGAAAGAGTAATAGTGAGATAAATGAAATTAGGGATAAAATACATTAAATTAGGGATAAAATAGGTAATAATACATTAAATGCTCAGATAAAATCAGAGAGAATTTTATAAAAAGGGACAGATGTATTCAAAAAATTAGATCTTATAATAATTAAGAAATGGAGGAGTAGGTCACATCCCCTAACATACTCTTCCAATCCTATTTATAATTCATTTTCTACGTATTTTACATAGATTAAGAAAAATTTTAAACTTCATTAATTCTCATTTAAAATTCATCAACTTTTCAAAACCTTATATTTCATTAATTCTCATTTAAAATTTAATAACTTTTTAACTTTATCCTTATTTAATATACATTATATCCTTAAACATAGTCAACACAATAATAAATGAAAAGTAAAATTGTACATTCATATAAAAAATTTTCCTTTATATCTTATAAATATGAGTAAAAAATTTCTTTTCTCTACTTTATAAATAAAATCAAGACTAAATAGGTAAAATAATCTCTAATTAATTACACTGAGAACTTCTAGGATAGTCATAAATGGCATTAATTGGCAAAAAAAGTTCATAAATGACATTAAATTCATTTCATGGCGTCAATAGCATTAATGAAATTTAACACAAGTTGCCCTTTCACCATTATAAATATACTATACCATCTCTAAACGTAAACCCCCGACTCAGAGTAACTAGTCTAACTCGGAGTAGTTTTCCTCTCTCTTTGCAACATTTCCCCCTTTAACATGGCTCAACCATCTCCCTCTGGTCAAATGTTCACTGTCATAAGGCATGAACCAGAATTGGTAGCTCCGGCTCGGCCCACCCCTCGTGAGTTGAAGCCACTCTCAGATATAGATGACCAACAGGGCCTCCGATTTCAAATTTCAGCAGTATTCTTTTATCCTCACAGGCCATCCATGGAAGGCAAAGACCCTGCTCAAATCATCAAGAAGGCACTATCTCAAACTCTTGTCTTTTATTACCCATTCGCAGGGCGGCTCAGGGAAGGTCCTGGCCATAAACTTATGGTAGATTGCAATGAAGAAGGCGTCATCTTCATTGAAGCTGATGCAGATCTCACTCTTGACCAGTTCGGGCACCCTCTTCAACCTCCATTCCCATGTTTTGAAGAGATCCTTTATAACGTTCCAGGCTCAGAAGGAATCACCAATTGTCCTCTCTTACTTATCCAGGTCTAACCACCACTTTGCAATATTTCATCCAGCAGCTTTTACTCATGTGGCATCTTTCTCTTAATACCTGTCAATTTCTTTTTTTGTTTTTTGTTTTTGTTTTTCGCAGGTTACACGCCTCAAGTGTGGTGGTTTCATATTAGCTTTTCGTCTAAACCACGCCATGAGTGATGCTCCTGGGTTTATGCAATTCACAAAGGCCATAGCAGAGATTGCTCAGGGTGCTTGTGAGCCTTCCATTACCCCCGTTTGGTGTAGAGAGCTGCTAACTGCGAGGGACCCACCTCGTGTTACATGCAATCATCTTGAGTACGAGGAGTAGCGCTTGATGATACCAAAATAGCAAAAGACATGTCCCACCACTCTTTCTTCTTTGGACCCGACAAGATAGAGGCCATCCATCAAATGTTTCGCCACGACGACCACCTTGGTCACCACACAACGTTCGAGGTACTCACAGCATTCCTCTGGCGTTGTCGAACCAAAGCACTGCAACTTGATGCGGACGAGGAAGTTCGTCTTGTATGTCCATGTAACGCTCGTAGTAAGTCTATGTCTTCATTGGTGCCACTGGGCTATTACGGCAATGCTGTTATGTACCCCACTGTAGCCACCACTGCCAAGAAGCTCTGTGAAAACTCATTTGGGTATGCATTAGAGTTGGTGAAGAAGGCAAAAGGTAAGGCAACGGTGGAATATATACAGTCTGCAGCAGATCTTATGGTGATTAGAGGGCGACCACGCTTCAGTCTAACGAGGTCATGGATGGTGTCGAATTTAACACGGGTCGAGTATAGAGATGCAGACTTTGGTTGGGGCAAGCCCGTATATGCCGGACCTGCAATGGCTGGTTTTGGACCTTTTCCTGAAATAAGTTTTCTGATTGCTTCTAAGAACGCAGAAGGAGAGGAAGGTATTGTAGTGCCAATTTACTTGCCGCCCAAATCTATGAAGATGTTCGTTGAAGAGTTAGATAACATGGTTAGCAAGAACAATAATTGAAATCTATGGACTATGGCCAGAGTCAGATCAGAGTGGGGTGAGTAGTGTGCAAGGTTGTTTCTTTTCTTTGGTGGTTATTATGCTTGCTTTTAAATTTTCAAGTTGTTGCTCTGGTTTATATATAAGCACCACCTGGATCATCCTCAAGACTTGGTTGATCAGGACTGTAGTAAAAGTGAATTTGTGGCATTGTAAGAGAAAAGTGAGTTTGTGGTCCAAGAGGTTGTCTTTGTTTAAGAATAGTTTGTGTAATAGCGTAAGCTACTCGGCATTAGTTGTTTTTTATTTTCTCGACGATGTAGGCCACGGGATGTCGTCTCGAGTAGTAAGTAGTAATAGCCTATAGCTGGCAAAACAAAAAAGTAGTACAGCCTAAAAGCTAATATTTTTTTATTTTAATAAAATATGTCGGGTTTAGGTAAAAAAAAATCTCAGGGATGACTTATAAATAAAACTAAAAATAAATTTTATTACTTTTTAAGGAAAAATAAATGGGGGTTATCATATTTTGTTTGAGAAAAATTAATCTAACAGTCCTCATAGTTTTATTAAATTTTGAATCAGGTCCTTATATTTTTATTTCTTCTTATTGAACTTTCTAGTTTGCTGAGTTACATAAATCAATCCTTCCGTTATACTTTTCCTGCTCTTTGTTAAGCATTAATGATAGAAGATGACCTAGAGTTGAAGAGGGTGCACATGGACAAATAACATTTGCTTTCTCTTTCTCCCCCCTCGTTGCTCTCTCTCATCTTTCGGGGCTCCTTTGTTAACGAGTTCTACTTCTCTCCGGTCTCCGCCAGTCCGCACCACGTCCTCCATCTACTCCTCTTATCTCTCCAATATTTATTCCTCATGTGTGCAGTAAGCCTTGTATTTGGGTAAGCTTTGTGTGCGCCTCTCTTGCTGGAAAATAAAGGGCTGAGTACCCAGTGAAAAACAGAGCAGCCATTGGTAAGCTTTTTTTTTTTTTTTTTTGGGCTTATTGCAATCATTACACGTCGTATAAGAAATAGACTTTTTTCTCATATTTTAAAGTGGTGTCTTTGAGATTGAAATACCAATTCATTGTATTAATTTGCTTGATTGCCTTGCCCACATACTCTGTTATTGTGAAACCATCCTATTGTGTATTATTGCGAAATTCACTCATGTTTTCCAATTTTCTAAGCACTCTGTCGGTAACTACTGCAAGTCAAGGGTGGACCAAGATACTATGAATTAGATGGAAGAGAACAAGAAGCAAATCGTATTTTTCATAGAGAGCAAAGCAGGGGACTAAGAGGTGGGAGGAGCAAGCGGTGTGATGGAGATCGAAGAGGACGAGTGGTATGGGAAATAGAACTAGTTGAAGCAGCAGCTGTGAAAGATGAGAGAGAGCTACGGGTGAGAGAGAGAGAAAGCATGTATTATCTGTGAATTTCTAGCCTCTTCATGCCACATCATCTTGTGTCATCATACTTACGGCGTGTGGGAAAATTATTAACGGAAGGATTGATTTCTTTAATTCAATAAATTATAAGGATCCACAAAAAAAAGTATAGGGACCTGATTCAAAATTTAATAAAACTACAAGATTGCCAAATTAATTTTTCCTTTTGTTTAATCATATGCATGTGTGAATTAATCCATAAACACTTTTTTGCAAGACCATCCACTTGGAACGAAGTAATTACTCACTCCCAGGATGTGTAACAGTAAGGTGTCCATCTCTCTGTTTTTTTTTTTTTTTTTTTTCCCGTTTGGTAATTATCAAGTCCTGATAATGGTAGCTAGCAAATCCATGGCCAGAGTCGGAGAGGGGTTGTGTAGCGTGCAAGGTTCTTTTTTTTTTTTTTGGCCCATTACTATGCTTGCTTTTAAATTTTCAAGTTATTGTTACTCTGGGTTTGAAGGAGCATCGGATCATCCTCAAGACTCGTTTGATCAGAATTGTCATAAAAGTGAGTTTGTGGCTGCTTCTTGTTGTTGTTGTGGCCCAAGAGAGTGTGTCTCCATTTAAGAATAGTTAATTGTTTTTTTAATTTTCTCGACAATGTAGGCCCTGGGATGTCCCTCTCGAGTAGTAAACTGATAGCTTCAATGAAAATCTGAAACATCCATTTCCGCAGCAAAAGGGGGGAAAAAAAAAAAACACTTCTTAGTTATAGTTCAAAAGTCGTGTTCTCTTGTTAAAAGACCATCTCTCAAGGACACACTGTCATCAACAAGCATCAACAAAGACATCACTCCTGGGAAGTCCTTCACTTCTCACATCAATTTAGGCATTTAATTGCTCCATCATTCATTGCATAGCACCTACTATCACAAATCATGCAATCCAATTTATTTCTAAGAATGAGATGAAGAGAGATTGAATCAATGTAAAATTGGCAGAAATCTTGTACTCAAACAAGAAAAGAAAGATAACCCCTATTATCAAGCCTGTGTAAAATAAAGGGGAAAAAAACTATGTATACACAAAACTATATTGCGAGCTGAACATTCTTCATTTACAAATGAACTGAATTAGAACAAATAAAAATAGAATCTTAATGTTCAGGATCACATATACATACATAAAACTACATAACTTTCTTTTCTTCGAAACTGCAACATTCGCTTGTCCTTTGCAACAGAGTGTAGACAGTAATTCCATAATCCTTCTAACGAGGAAATGGCTGAGAGATCGATGCTTCATTCAATGATGCTTGAACAGATTGGTTTTTGAGTTCATTTGATGTTATTGCCCCTGAATTATACTCTCTGGACCTGCTGTAGGAAAAATTTCTACTATTCATGTAGGAAGCAGGTTGAGAAGGCAAAGGAAAGGTAGCAGAGTAGCTGTTAAGCATGACTTCAACTGAAGCCATGGTTGGTCTGTCAGCTACATCATCTTGAACACAGAGCAATCCTATGTGGATGCATCTCATTATTTCATCTCTTGAACCTCCCATAATTGCGGGGTCCACAATACTTGTGGCTGTTCCTTCCCTCCACTTTCTCCATGCCTGTAAATTAAAAGATATCACAATAGAAATTTCAGCTTTTTACTTCTACAAAAATTTCTAGCCATATGCTTCCAAAGAAAAGGAAGATAAATAATGCAAAGCTACACTTACAAAGCTGACTAGATTCTCTGCATTCTCGCCTTCAAAAACCTCACTATTTTTACGGCCAGTTACAATCTCTAGAACTAGAACACCAAAGCTAAAAACATCCGTTTTTACTGAGAATTGTCCATGCAGTACATATTCAGGGGCCATATATCCACTGCACATATTTAAGGTGTCATGCAATAATTAGTATGGAAAAGTTCAATTAGATATAAATGTAAAAAACTTTTCTCTAATTGTCTTGGCACTAAAGTTTTTGGATAACTTTTTGGTCTAAAAATATTGGCATACTTACAATGTTCCTACAACTTTACTTGTATTGTCTTGAGTTTGGTCCCTTCCAACTAATCTTGCCATACCAAAATCTGATATTTTTGCATTCATCTCTGCATCTAAAAGAACGTTACTTGCTTTGAGATCACGATGAATAACTCGCAAGCGAGAATCTTCATGAAGGTAAAGAAGTCCTCTAGCAATGCCTCCTACAATTTTGTATCTTGTTTCCCAAGATAACTGTGCACGCTTGATTGGATCTGCATATCAAGCAAACATATAATCTTTTGAGCTGTTTGGAATATGTGTAAACCTATATAGGCTCAGCAGACGTGGTGTATTAGACACAGTCCAATCGAGAACAAGTGTTGACTTACCAAATATGAAGCAATCAAGACTTTTATGGGGAATAAACTCATAGACTAGTAGTCTTTCTTGCCTTTCTAAACAAAAACCAAGTAGTCTAACTAGATTTCGATGCTGAAGCTTGGCTACTAACAGCACTTCATTCTTAAATTCTTTATCCCCCTGGGAAGAATTCCCAGACAACCTTTTCACGGCAATTTCTTGTCCACCAATAAGCTTACCCTGAAAATAGTTAGAGATTGATGTTTATGATTCATGACCAACTATCGTGGTGTCTAACCATTTTGGCCAGAGCAAGACATGGCATATTTTCGACGTAGCATTGTTATCATTACCTTGTAAACAGGTCCAAATCCGCCTTGTCCTAGCTTATTTTCTTCAGAAAAGTTATTTGTGGCAGCTATGATGGCATCATAGTTCAAGTGCAATGTCTCAGATGACCTCATTTCACCGTCAGCTTCAAATTCATCATCTGAAAATGACTTTAAAGTGAGCTACTCAACTTTGTGGAAAAAGCACATTGTTGCGGAAACTTTAAGATTTATGCTAATGATTATGTCTGTGTTTTTACTTATTACTGATTGTAATGGAATCAAACATACTTTAACAATTGGGGAAAAAAAGTATTTTATTATTCCTTTTAAATCATTGGTAAGTAAAACTTTAGGAAATTACTTTACGCCCTCATCCATGGCATTTTGTGACCTTTCTACCGTTTCATTTTCACAACGTAACAAAGGATGCTTAACTCAGCAAATCTCAGGAGACTATCTTGACTTACTTTTGATATGTTTCCGCGGTTTCCTCATTCGTAAACAGATGCAGACAAGGACGAGCAAGACAATAACGGAAGCAATTGGCACAACTATGGCAATTATAGTTCGTGATGTGTTGCTCTTTCCTGCAAAAAAATACGATAATTAAGATGTTCAGAGAATTGAGGATAATAAGACAAGGAAACCAATATGAGCACAGCAAACAGAGGAAAGGCCACCATTAACAAGATACTACGTATCCGGCATCTAAATTTTCAGCAGACTGCTCATCATTCCTCCCATCAGATGAAAAACCCCAACAAGAAAAAGGTCGTCAAAATTATATATGATGGAGCCCTATTAGATGCTATTAGCTTGATGCTTTTTGTGTAAAAAATTCTAAGCATAAAATGAGAGGTACCTTCTGATGGTGGTGTTGAATCACTGGTAGCGTTGAAGAAGCGGTAGTCTTCATATCTAAAATTACAGCTTGGTCTTAAAATTCTACCTCCAATCTTGCCACCAGAACATTGTGGGAGTCCTGAGATTGCCTCGACCAAGCAGTCACTGCACTGATCTGAAGATAGATCAGGTGTACACTGCACGAGACCATACAGAGTCTGAAAGTCTGGGCCTTCAGCGTTTGCTGCAGCAAACTTACGAAGAGAGCTCCCTGATGAAGCCGTCCTACTTAAACCATCCAGCAAATTCCTTAGCGCTTTGTTGAACTGATCCACACCTGTTGCATTCTTAATGTTCCACATGCAAAAGGAAGGCAAATTTTCCACGGTGTTAAAAATTGAACGGTTTGAATAGCGTAACATGCAATTGTCATAGAAACCAATCGCCTCCATCTGATTTGGACAGAGCCGGGTGAGGAGGGTTCTAGAATCATTGAGGCAACTGCGGCATATATCTAAGGCAACATCTCCTCTGCACAACCCTATTGCATTAACCTTGTCGGAGTTTTGGCCATAAGAGAAGTTGTAGAAGCCATAGTCAATTTCTGTGTTGGAAGCAATATTGGACAAAAGAGTATTGAGGTTGGTCTGGTAGGCACTATTAGCAGTGTAGTTGCCATTACCCTCGTTACAGTAATGATACAGGAACTCAGGCTGGGCAGTGACTTGAGATATGAGTATGGGAAGGATACAGAGAAAGGAAAGCATTCTAAGAGAAACCAAAGCCATTTCTATGGTTGTGATCTGGAGGAATGGCTTGTAAGTGGTAAAATATGGAACATTAGGTGGGAAACTAATGATCAGGCCTGAGGGATGGCTGATTGAATAGTATGTAGTCCGATTTTGTTAAATACCTTCCTTGAAACATTCAAAACCGTGGCTTCGGCATAAACATAAACACTTAATGTACAAATCGAAGAAGAAAATTAACTTTATGGTTTTGGACTTTCTTCTCTAAAGCTCAACCGGCCAATTTAATCCAAGTTCTAAGCATAGGTTTGACTGAGCACCTGCGTGTTGGCATCAATAAAACCACATCTGATTAAAAAAACACGCTGACACCTTGGATGGTTGACCAATACAGCTCGGGACACCGATATCTGACATTACGGTTTGAAGCTGATAGTGACTAATGTAGCTGCTGAAACCCGAAACAGCGTTTCTTTGGTCAAATCCGACATATTCAAATAGTTAACCGCAAAGCTGGACTTTTTCTCAGCAAATTTGGTAGGGGAAAATTGCATATTCATTGTTATTTTTGTTTTAGTGAAGTGTAATAAAAGAAAACGATTGAGACCGAAGTGGTAGCCGACGAAATTTGAGAAGCAGCACGCAATAAAAGTCAAGGCTTTATTTTAATGTTATCTTGAGAATCTGGCCTTCGGGGAGAATGGAGCGATCGTTTTCTTCCGGGCCCCTGGTTTCAGCTGGGCAGGTCAGCGACCCTTTTTTTTAATTAAAAAAAAACTAAAAGGGGAATAAATTGACAAAAAAAGAAATTATAAGCGGCACATAATTACACAACTCGTGACTTCCAGGACAGCGTGGCTACAAGGCTTTTGATAAGGTCAGCGGCTTTAAATTGTCAGTAATTTTTTTTCTTTTTCTTTTCGCTTAAAAGTCAGTATTCAGCGGCCTTTTTTTATTGATAGGCCTTCAATTTTCTTGAAGCTGATCACTTTACTTGCACAAATCGGCTTTTGAATTAGTATTCTATTGAGCATTGAGCAACAAAATTGAATCGTTCGTACATTAAAACCACTGAACTTTTATGTAGCCGTATTTTTATTCTCTCCAGAACCAGCAAGTATTTGATATTCCATTTTATTATCAAAATTTAAGGATTCAAAGTCAGTAAACAAAAATTTCAAAACTTTGTTTTTGGGTCTATATATGATTGGTATATTGAATTGAGTTATTTCTAATATTGTCATAAATTATTAAAATTATAGAGCTTTTAAGTCAAACACATAATATTTAAAACTATTTACTTATTCATTATTCAATCAATTTTGCAAAGAATCATTTCTCCATGCCTGAATCAACCAACTAATAATATTTGATTAATTCACAATAATTCCAATGAACTCAATGACAGAGAGACCTGTTCTGTACAAAAACTTGCTGAGAGAATCATCCAACACGGATAAATAAACAAAGCATATTGGTAGAAATCGACCTAGAGTCATATCACCGAGGGAAAGAATTAGTGATGGACAAATCATTTACGGAGTATAAACATGCAGAGCCTGAACTGGATTCCCCTGCCATTCCATTGTTCATAAAAAATGCTGGTTGTCGAGGGAGAGGCAGATCGGCTGAAGGACTACTAAAATATGAAACAACGTTTGCCATTGTGGGTCTATCATTTGGATTTTCTTGGACGCATAACAAACCAATCTGAATGCACTTCATGACTTCGTTATGTGGGCAAGCTTCTTTTAGAATTGGGTCCAGGATTTCTAATGGTGTTTGATCCCTCCACTGTCTCCAAGCCTGCAACATGTTTGTTGAATCAGATCTTTCAGTCTTACTTTTGTTTTTTTTCTTTATCATCTCAATATACAATGAAAATGATGAAACTTGCATCAACAGAAATATCAGAAATCAGTACTTACATGACTGATAAGGTCATCAACATTATGTGAGTCAAGCGATCGTGCATTTCTTTTTGCACTAATTACCTCCAAACTTATGACCCCAAAACTAAAAACGTCAGACTTTTCAGAAAATTGTCCATGCATTGCATATTCTGGAGACATATAACCACTGCAAAAGAGAATATTATTAGTAAAAGCAAAATTAAAGTCTCATTTTTATCAATGAATAGGCTTTAGTAAGCATAATCTATTTATGATACTTCTCAAACAAATTGTACCACTCATGAACAGTCTAACTCATTCTTCAAGCTTTATACAACACAAATCACAGTAGTTTTTTCTCTTTTATTTCTAAAATTGCGCCAAGAGGGTCTTGGGGCTTTGCTTAAAACAAGTGGAATCACTTTTAAAAAAATTATGTTCCTAAAATGCCCTTATTTCTAGCACATTTAGATCACACACAATAAGATTAAAAAGAATATAAGGAGATAGAAAAGCTTCGGAGTCACTCACTATGTTCCAACTATTCTTCTTGTTTTCACTTGACCATGATCTATAGCAACTATCCTTGCCATACCAAAATCTGAGATTTTTGGATCCATGTTATCATCCAACAACACATTACTAGTTTTGAGATCGGTGTGTATAACTTTGAGTCTTGAGTGCTCATGTAAGTAAAGAATTCCTCGAGCAATTCCTTCCATGATTCTGTAACGCTGAACCCAACTCAGTGGTTGTCTTTGAGAATCTGTAAACCGTAAGTCATTCAAGTAATCAGAAGAGAGGTGCGTATTTTTCCTTCAATAAGTTGAATCAGATTAATAAATGCTTCCTTTTCTTTTTTGGTGAGAAATAAATGCTTCCTTTGACAAATGAATGAAAAGAAGTTCCATACCGAATAAAAAATAATCAAGGCTTTTGTTGGGCACATATTCATAAACAAGCATTTTTTCTTCTGCTTCCAAGCAAAATCCTAATAAAACCACTAGATTCCTGTGCTGAAGCTTGGCTATGAGCAAAATCTCATTCTTGAATTCTATTGAACCTTGTCCTGAACTTTTAGAGAGCTTTTTAACAGCTATTTCTTGTCCGTCTCGAAGAACACCCTGAAATTATGGCTCCTCTCTGTGAAGTTTATTATAAGAAAAAAGAGTATAGATAATTAGATATGTTTTTTCCGACATTGCTTTACCTTCTAAACTTCTCCAAATCCTCCTTGGCCAATCCTGTTCTGGTGTGAAAACTTGTCTGTCGCTACTTCAAGCGTAGCCAAACTAAATTGCAATGACTCCAAAGCGCCGGTTTCTTTCCCAACTGGACCGACATAAAATTCACAAGTAACAATGTTTAGTCGTTCATTCTTTTCATTAATTTGAAGAGCGTGAGATTTTGTTTGTCCCCCCCCCCCCCCCAACTCACAATGTTCGCTTAGAGTCGTTTTGTAACTCTTCCTTGATCTGCCCAGCAGGAAATAGCAGCCTAAACACGAGAGAATTATAAAAACAAGAGGAAGGATAACAATCATGGCGATAGTTCCTGATCCATATTTCTTCTTTCCTGCATAAATAATTTCCAAGAAAAATATTCAAGCTTTTGTAATTTAAGAAGTTAAAAAGAAGAAAGCAGTCATAACTATAAAAAATCCTTGTTTTGACCATAACAGGTACAGAAATAAAACGGTCTTGTTTGTTTGCACATATTTTGCTAAAATTTAAAGAATTAGTTATGAAGAAGGTAAATTACCCGGTGACGAAGTGGTTGAATTGTAAAATTGGGACAGCTCGTATCTCACATTACAGGTTGCAAGCAGAACTCTCGCGCCTTGTCTTCCCCCACAGCACGACGGAAGAACGCCGACAGCATTCTGCAAACACGTCTCACATTGTGGGGAGCTCAGTTCCCCCGAGCATTGCGCAAGCCCATACACCGTCATCGACCTCGTAACCCTCACTTCCCCAGTCCCGAATTTCTTCGCCGTCTCCGAATTAGCAGCTTGTGTCCCCAAATCATTCAACAATCTGAACAACGACTGTTGAATTGGCTAATGTCAGTGTTAGATACGGTTTTACCGTCCGTCAAATTCGTTCCAGGAACAACGCTTCCAGACTTGAAGTACGAGCGGGTGAAACGCAGCGTGCAGATGTCGTACCAGAGGACAGCCTCTGTTTGGTTAGGGCATCGGGAAATGATGTCATTGGCGGCGGCGGCAACGCAGTCCTGACAAGTGGCGATGGCGATATCTCCGCGGCAGAGGTAGTAACCGTTGACGGCGAAGGGGGTGCCGGCGCCCATGGCAGTGTCGTAGGAGCCAGAGGAGTCTTGGGAGGCGTTGGAGGAGAGAGAAGAGAGGAGTACATTAATATTACGTTGAAATGTGGAGTTGGGTTGATACGTGACCGTGTTGTTGCAGTAATGGCCATTGTAAACGGGAGTTGCGCGAGCTGGGGTTGCCAAGAATGTTGCGAAAAGAAACGTCGTAAGGGAAAGAAGAGAGTTTGTGATTTTGTGAACAGAAGCATGGTGGGAATATAATAATGGAGTCTCTGTTTTTCTTAATGTTTGTTGAAAAATGAAGATTGAAGGGAAGAAGGAAAGTGGCCAGGCCATGCACAGAGATTATGAATGGGAACGAAGGATCAAGTTTTGACAAGTCCGAACTCTGAAGAGGGAAGACGCCGTAGAAATGGCGATTTTGACAACTGACGAGTCGGGTGGAGTCTCCCTTGGCGGGCCTCTTCAACACCTCGCGCCGATCTGACATTTATTCATAGCACGACCGGTAAGATACCAAGACATTCATGTAGTCTTCCGGTTCTAATTATAAGAACCAATTAACTTATTTGAAGAGATTAAAAAAGTAAGTTAAATTGGTTATTTATAATAAATAAGTATTTTCATTCCTAAAATATCCTTGCTAATTAAGTATATTGGCTAAAACTATTATTATTAGAAAGATTATCTTGGAAAAAAATGCATAAATATAAGAGACAAAATGGATTAGGTCTTATAATTAGGACCAAATAAAAAATCAAATTGGGTCTTATAATAAGGACCAGAGGAGTATTAGATTTTTCAATCAAATTTAAGCATTGTTATGAGGGATAAATGAAAAACTTTTTATACTTTATAAACTATATATAATTTGATTACTTGCAAGAGATTTTTATATACATAAAGCCATAAGAAATGCGAACTTTGAAATTAATTGATGGACATACATGCATCGTGTGTGATATAAATAATTAAGTAATATTACTAAGCAGTGAAATTTGGTAAAAATTTTATGCTTTATATTAATACTAATATTGATTGATATTTTTTTTTTGACCAGGCTAATATTGATTGATATATACTAATGATATTAAAATAATATCATAAATATGCCACTCAGTTTTAAAATTATACCATGAGTGACAAGAAAAATGCAAATAGAATTATAAATAGGAACCAATTTTGATTATTAAAAAATTATCTTAAATCTTGAAATTAGTTTGGTCCTTTTCTTAAAAACAAAGAAAGAAAGATGTAATGACAAAACTGATGACATCGAAGAGGAAGATCTGCACAAGTTTTCCAAAACGGAAAATAGTCATGTGAAGGGAAATTACGTGTTGATACCAAATTTAGTACTAAATTGTAGCGGTGAGGCTAAAGACAAATATCTACACAAGATTTTTTTTTTTTACAAAGAAGAAATATATCCGTACAAGAGCTCTGGATTTTTAAATATTTACGGAGATGAACTTATGAAATTATAATGTTGCAGCACCTGTAAATTTTTGAACAGGTTATACAGATATTTATTTTTCGCCCCACCCGTCACCCCTGTAAATATAAGTTATTAGTTGGATGGAAAGAAAAATGATGAAGGGTTGTGGCATGTTCATCCTATAAAATTTTCACCGACTGTAATTGGTATTTTAAACTTTTGGTTGGCATATTGTTCCTTAAAAATTTAAAAAATTAGTCAAACATTGTCCTATAGGAATGTTTAACCAACGTTAATTGTTAGTTGAATAATTTTGAGAATTAAAGGACCATTTTCCCCAGAAGTCCGTGACAGTGAGAAATTATTATTTTAAAATTTTGGTGTGTATAAAAAATCTTAAGATTTTAATTGAGGTATTATTTTTGAATTATCGATATTCAAATCACAGTAAGAATTCAACAACTCGTTATAACTCATAATCACAGGACGATATTGTAAGTGATAAAGTGACTTACTGCCACGATCTATTGAAATTTAGCCCAATTCATCTTAATTCATCTCTCTCCCACCTTGGACTGGTCTATACTGTCCACAAGCAAGTTCGTGCAAGTCGATACTTGCTCATGGTTAAAGCCTGGGCAAGCCTAGACCTGCTCTTGGATATGTCTGAAGTCTGAACTTGCTGATGGACAAACTAAAGGCAAATACAAATACTGCCCAAAGAAAAGTTCGGGGACCACTCCATGCAAAGTCGATTATGCACCCGTGCAAAGTCTCTAGTTAGAATTCAAAAATACGAACTAGTTTTAAACATTGAAAAGAAATTGTCAGATTTTCTTTACTAGTTTGCGTCAATTAAAAATTTAGAACGCCAATCACTTACTAGGGGGAAAAAAACCAAATTTCGGGAGCAAAAATGCTCTGACCCTGATCAAAATTGCTCAATTAACCATCAATATTAATGAACAAAGTCAGTCCCGGAGCGATTTCTCTATACAAATTAGCTCAGCGATTGATTTTCCCTCTACATCCAATAATGATAAGCAAATCATAATGTTCATAAAAATCGACCTAGTGTCACCGAGGGAAAGAATTACTGATAGACAAATCATTTACCGAGTATAAAGATCTAGAACCTGAACTGGATTCCCCTGCCATTACATTGTTCATCAAAAATGCTGGCTGTCGAGGTAGAGGTAATTCGGCTGAAGGACTATTAAAATATGAAACAACGTTTGCCATTGTGGGTCGATCATTTGGTTTTTCTTGTACGCATAACAAACCAATCTGAATGCACTTCATGACTTCGCTCTGCGGGCAAGCTTCTTTTAGATCTGGGTCCAGTATTTCTAACGGTGTTTGATCCCTCCATTGTCTCCAAGCCTGCAACATTTTAGTTGAATCAGATACTTCAGTCTTGTACTTTTTTCTGTTTCCTCATCATCTCAATACCCCATCAAAACAGTGACACTTGCATCCACAAAAAGAAACATAATCATCCTAGAAAATTAGAAATCTGCACTTACATGACTAATAAGGTCATCAACACTACGTGAGTCTAGTGATCGGGCATTTCTTTTTGCACTGATCACCTCCAATGTTATGACCCCATAACCGAATACATCAGACTTTTCAGAAAATTGTCCATACATTGCATATTCTGGAGACATGTAACCACTATCAAAAAAAGAAAAAATGTTATCAGCGGAAGCAAAATAAAAGGGTCTCACATTCGACAATGCTTAGGCTTCAGTAAGCATAGTCTTAATATGGTTAAGAGTATCTTGGGGTTTTGCTCAAACTAGGGGGCTTGAAGTTAAATTGACGGACAGAGAAGATATTCCTCGTCTAAATTGAGCCAAGTCCCTTGCATGTATAAAGTTTACTTTAAAAACTTCTAACAAGCCCAAAGAGATAATTGAAAAATTAGGATTAGTTATATATTTTTACAAAACTGCTATTACTAAAACAGTCTTTTACTTCTAACATATTTACATCACATATAATAAAAATTATGATGGAGGATATTTAAGTTTTGGAACCACTTACTATGTTCCAACTATTCTTCTTGTTTTCCCTTGATCATCATCTATAGCAATTATTCTTGCCAAACCAAAGTCTGAAATCTTTGGATTCATATTATCATCCAATAACACATTACTAGGTTTAAGGTCACGGTGTATAACTTTAAGTCTTGAGTACTCATGTAAATAAAGAATTCCTCGCGCAATTCCTTCCAGGATTCTATAACGCTGAACCCAGTTCAGTAGTTTTCTCCTTTGAGAATCTGTACATGACACGTCGTTCAGGTAGTAAGAAAGCAGCTGCATAATATTCCTTCAATAACTTGAATCAGATTAATCAAATGCCTCCTTGAACAAATAAATAAATAAAAAGTTCCATACCAAATAAAAAGTAATCAAGGCTTCTGTTGGGCACATATTCATAGATAAGCATCTTCTCTTCTGCTTCCCAGCAAAATCCTAACAAAGCCACTAGATTCCTGTGTTGAAGCTTGGCTATGAGTAAAATCTCATTTGTGAATTCTATCGAACCTTGTCCTGAGCTTGTAGAAAGTTTTTTAACTGCTATTTCTCGTCCGTCTTGAAGACGACCCTAATATTATGTCTCTTCTTAGTAAAGTTTAGCATAAAAAACAAGTATAGATATACTTTTACTACATTTATTTACCTTGTAAACTTCTCCAAATCCACCCTTGCCTATCTTATTCTGCTGTGAAAACTTGTTTGTTGCTGCTTCAACTGTAGCCAAACTAAATTGCAATGACTCCAAAGACTCGCTTTCATTTCCAACTGGGCCAACATAAAATTTCACGAGTAACAATGTTTAATTATCCATTCTTTTTATTAATTTGAAGAGCATGAGATTTTATTAAATTACTCACAGTGTTCTCTGAGAATAGTCCTATGACTCTTCCTTGATCTTCTCAGCAGGAAATAGCAGCCTAAACATAAGAGGATTACAAAAACAACAACAAGGATAACAATCATTGCAATTGTTCCTGATCCATATTTCTTCTTTCCTGCATAAATAATTGCCGGGAAAAAAATTCAACCTTCTGTAATTCAAGAACTAAGAAAGAAGAGCGTAATCATCACAAATACATAAAAAATTACTTTTAAGTGGGCGATTGTCCCAGGCAGAGGTATATGAAAAGAGATTATCATGAGGAGAATATAGCAAAGCTGTTTACTGAACACTCAATCAATGATTATGCACCCACTCATCCTCATATATATACCATTTGCAAATCGCTGAACCGTAAAATTTCTGAAATGCCAAAAATTAAGTACTCTATGCCTGACCTGTATCACATGAAAATTCACTCCATTAAGACCACTTAGTCTTATGTTTATCCATAAACTCTCAAGAGAATTTATTTGGTTCAATCATCTGCAAGTTTTCTTCATTTGAAAACGCAATTAATTTGAACAAATAATCTTAATTGATCCGGGAAGGACTTGAATAATCAAATCAATAACACATAATATATAAAATTCACCAGATACATTTAGCTGGAAATCATTGTTCTCACGAAACACAGAAATCAAACAGTCTTACTTGTTTGCGCTCACGTTTGCTTATATTCATAGAAATTAACTCTGAAGAAGTTATGTTACCAGGTGACGAAGTGGTTGAATTGTAAAACCGGAACAACTCGTATCTGACATTACAGGGCGAAAGCAGAACTCTCGCGCCTTGCTTTCCCTCACAGCATGCCGGAAGAACTCCGATGGCGTTCTGCAAACAGGTTTCACATTGTTCGGATGTCATTTCCTTCGAGCATTGCGCAAGCCCATACACAGTCATCGCGCTCGTAACTCTCACTTCCCCTGTTGCGAACTTCTTATCCGTCTCCGAATTCGCAGCTCGCGTGTCCAAATCATCCAACAATCTGAACAACGACTGGTTGAATAGGTTAATATCGGTGCTAGATACGCTCTCCTCATCCGTCAAATTCATTCCGGGAAAGACGCTCTCAAACCGGAAGAACATGTTGGTGAAACGCAGCGTGCAGACGTCGTACCAGATAACGGCCTCGGTTTGGTTAGGGCATCGGGAAATAACATCTTTGGCGGCGGCGTTGACGCAATCGTGACAGGTGGGCATGGTGATATCGCCGCGGCAAAGGAAGAAGCCGTTGACGGCGTAGGGCGTGCCGAAGCCCATGACGGTATTGTAGGAACCAGAGGAATCTAGGGAGGCGTTGGAGGTGAGAGAAGAGAGTAGTACATTAATATTACGCTGAAATGTGGAGTTGCGTGGGTACGTGGTCGTGTCGTTGCAGTAATGGCCATTGTAAACGGGAGCTGCGAGAGCTCGCGTTGCCAAGAAGGACGTGAAAAGAAGAAGAGGATAAATTTTGAAGAGAAACATAGTCTGAGAACGAAAATGGTAACAACGGAATCAGTAGTTTTCTCAGCGATGGTTGAAAAATGGCCATGGAAATGGATTATGAATGAGAGTGAAGGATCAAGCTTTGACAATACTGTAAGCGGGAAGACACCAAAGTGGCGGCCAGAGCTGGTGCCTTTGACGAATGGCAAGTGGGAGTCCCGCTTGGCGGGCTTGATATGATAATATTATGGGAAAATTCAATAACGTCCGACCAAGGCAATTAAATATAAAAAGTAACTAAGTCTTAAAAAATTTTATTATAAAAAATTTTGGTTATTTAATTAATTATCATATTATTTTTTTAAGTATATATTGATAGCTGAAAGAGTAGTTGATAACTATCATGTGGTAGGTATTAACAATATATTTTTTTTTTTTATAAAGAGGGAAAATAAAACTATTCATCTAAAATAAAACTATTCAATCTAGCAGTAAAATCAAAAGCATCTGTTGAACTTAAAAGGTGGAGTCCAGCCAAGGGATAGAGCTCTCTTAGCAAGGTTGTCAGCTTCAGTGTTGTTCTCCTCCTTGAATGACCGACTTCCACAAGCCATTCTCTCTAAAGCAAGTTCTGACAATTCTGAATCAATTCCCAGTTCTCATGAAGTTCTGGTGCACCATTATTTATCAACCTGACTACTTCTAAAGAATCATTAAGTAACAAAACTTTTCTGTGACCCCTCCCATGCACACTTGGGCCCAATAAGGCAAGCCCACAACTTCGCAACCAAAGGGTCGTCGTCTATCATACTGAACATAAAAGCTTCTTGAATTTGATGATCCGTGTTATGGATAGTCCCTCCACAACCTGCCTTCCCAGTCCTCTGCGAGAAGGCTCCATCCACTTGGACAGTAATGGTATCATTGTCTATCCTTTCGGTATTTCTTTCCTCATGAACAACGGCACCACTAATATTGACCTTTCGTAGTTGAACTTTGGCCCTATTGAAGCTTGACACGACTGCTCGAGCTTTGCCAATAAGTTCGTGAGTATGGGTCAAATTGTTTTCAAACACTCTCTCATTTTTCGTTTCCAAAGGAGTCAGCAAATACCACAAAGACCTCCCTCAGGGGCCATGACCATCCCCATTCTTAACAATATATTTTTCTAGTGCACCATAAAAAATATAATGCATGAGTAGTTAATATCTATCGTAATAATAATTAATTATTCTACCTTAAGTTGTTAATAACTACACTTTCAGTTATCAATATATATTTAAAAAAAAACAATTTGATAATTAAATAAAATAAATTTCTTGCAATGAGATCCATTGAAACTTCAGATTAATTTAATAATTTTAAGAAATTTTTCATATTTAATTATCTTAGGTGAGGTTTTATTGCAATTTTTCTTAATATTTTTTAAATTAGATTTCTCCGTTAAAATTAGACACGTAATATGTGATTACGTGCATTTATTGTCCTTCTAACCAGGTCTTATGCATTTGGGCCACGCTCGGGCCACTGGGTCAGAAAAGTTTATTGAAGTCATAGGCCTGATAATTTTTTGGCCCAATAAAATGTGCCTGACTTGACTCAATAAAATTATATTGACCAACCATCTCAATATTCTGTCTGTTATCTATAGGGACTAGTCTAATAAAAATGATTAGTCTTATATTTATTATCCAACAGTATTTCAAATACGATTGTCTCTAATAAGAGAATGCCTATGCTTTTAGTAAACCAAAAAAAATTCTGTTCTCTACTTTTATTATCTTTTACGTGTGGAAAACGCTTGATGGATGCACAGACATTTGTAATGCGTTTATAACGAAAATATTGGTAACTTATATAGAAAATGAGCAGTTAGAAAACTTCAAAACAACGATGGCAAAAAAAAAAAAAAAAGCTTAAAAACAACCTAAGCATACCTAGAACACTCAATTGCCACAAAATATACTAACATTTTACTTCACATCAAACATGCTTTACCGTTCTATATTAAATATAAGATGATAAAGTCCTCCATCAAATAATTTGATAATTATAATAATTACATATCAAAATAGATCAATCATTTATTATTGAGAGCAAACGTTGCAACTCGTCTAATAATAACTTGATCACAAGTTGACATATAATATAGTACAGAATAATGAACTCAAATAAAAAATCAAAACTGTTGAGTGCAAGTTAGACCAACTCCCGTTTTGTCCTCGGAGTATGATTATGATAATAAGTGCAGTTAACTGGTTTTATAAAAAGTAGTAATTAATTACCATTGCTCAAGTCATGTACACATTTGCAGCCACTATATATAGAATAATATCTGGACGACAAGAAAACAGAAGGCATATATTCTTTTCTTGTTTTTTTCCCCAAAAATTTTCCTGAGGAATGATCGATTTGACGCGATTATATGATGTTGAAAGCTTCCAACTCACATAAACTATCGAGGGAAGAAAGTAGTCTTGGACATGTCATTGATGGAAGAAGGTGTGGAATCAATGGAGGATTGTCCTGAACTGCAATCTCCATCTACCATGTTGGTTGATTTCCCAGCACTGTACCTGAAGAGCGCAGGTTCTCTTGGAAATGGCAGATCAATTAATTGGGTATTGAGGAATGAAACAACTGTGGCCATTGTGGGTCTATCATCTGGGTCTTCTTGTACACACAATAACCCAATTTGAATGCACTTTATGACCTCAGTGTGAGAGTATGATTCTTTAAGGTTTGCGTCCAGAACTTCCAGTGGGGTGTGATTCCTCCATTGTCTCCATGCCTGAAACAATGTCCCAGATAAGGTAAGATTTACGTTTGTTCATTGTGATATTTTTCGCTTTTCCTTTTATATATAGTTTAAATGGCGAGAAAATCTAGTGCTTCACTTATTTTGATGCCTTTGTGCTTAGCCCTTGCACTTTCTTTCCAGGTGCAAGGAATACACACACATATATATATTATACAACACTAAATAAGGAGTTATGCATTGCACAGAATTTCAGATTAAAGCAGATTTATGACTCGTTATTAATAAGGTCGTTTGTCATGAAACTTATGTGCTATGGGTATATAGAGATCTACATGGATAATTTATCTAACAAATATATCAAAATTTATTTAGCAAATGCGAGAGTTTAACACTCACCTGACTTAAAAGATCTTCAAGAATCTTTGACTTGGGGGATCGAGCATTTCTTTTTGCACTAATTATTTCTAGAATTATAACTCCAAAACTATATACATCTGATTTTTCTGAAAATTGTCCATGCATTGCATATTCAGGAGACATGTAACCACTGCATAAAGAAAAACAAAATCAAACTATATCAAAAGTAAGATAGAAGAAATAATTATATTTATGAGAAATAATTATTGAAGTTTAGGTAACTTTAAACGCATTTTCTCTGGAAATCATGAAAGAGGATAAACGTAGAGTACACTCACTATGTTCCAACAATTCTACTAGTACTTCCTTGATTTTGATCTATAGCAACTATTCTTGCTAAGCCAAAATCTGATATTTTTGGATTCATGTTATCATCTAATAACACATTACTAGGCTTGAGATCACGGTGTATAACTTTGAGTCGTGAATGCTCATGTAGATATAGAATTCCTCTTGCAATGCCTCCGATGATGTTGTATCGCTCAGACCAATTCAATATCCTTCTCTTTGGATTAGAATCTAAAAATTTACCAAATAGTCATTGTTATGGTTTAGAAAATGCATGAGTGCTATGTAAATCATAAGTTAAAATCAAATTAAGTAAATATGTACTACTTTTCCAAATAGAAATGCTAAGCTTCAAATGAAGGTAACACAGAAGTTGGTCATTACCAAATAAAAAGAAATCAAGACTTTTGTTAGGCACATATTCATAGATCAGCATTTTCTCCTCTTCTTGCAAGCAAAATCCAAATAAGGCAACCAGATTTCTATGTTGAAGCTTGGCAATAAGTGAAATCTCATTTTTAAATTCCACCACACCCTGCTTAGATTTACTTGAAAGTTTCTTAACTGCTATTTCTCGTTTATCTGGAAGCGCACCCTGAAAACATAAATGTCAACAATTAGAACTTAACATATGCATATATATTTGCCTCCCCAAAAAACCAAAAAAAAGGCATATAGCTAGATAGCTAGAAAATAAAAGATATACATTTCCTTTTACTATTGTTAAATTCATTGGATCACCTTGTAGACTTCCCCAAATCCACCTTTGCCTATTTTGTTAAGCTGTGAAAAATTGCTTGTCGCAGCTTCAATTGTAGCAAAAGAGAATTGCAACGACTCTGGAGCGGTAATTTCTTCTCCATCTATTATATATAGACAATATATATACGTTAAGTTCAGCACAAATCTTTTAACCAAAGAAGAATGGCTGTTTAAATTAATGAACTTTCATTTGGAAGCATTAATTACTTACGATTTTCATTAAGTACTGCAGTCTTATGCTTCTTCCGTATTTTCAGAAGGAAAGCCCCTCCCAAACACAACATCATAACAGCAACTGAAACTGGAACGACAATTAGAAGAATTCTTCGCGTTTCATTTTTGTCCTCCCCTGCGTAAATAATTTCTGGAAAGACTTAGTTTCCATCTAAAGCATCAGCAAGATGAAACCAACCAGCAAGATTAACCATACAAGCATTAATAGATTGCTAGTAAACCCATGGTCGATTTCTATCACAGTTTTGACTAGATACATTTAATTACCTGGAGCAGGAGACAATGTTACTGCAGGTCCAGGTGATACAGCCGTTACATTGTAAAACGGATATAGTTCATATCTGATGTAGCACGAAGCAAGAAGAACCCTCGCCCCTTGTTTTCCCTCACAGCAATTACCGAAAATTCCAATGGCATTTCGCAGACATGTTTCACACTGATCACTGGTCAAGTCGTCCGTGCACTGCTCTAAAGCATACAGCGTCGTCACCGGCGAGCTCGATAATATCGCTTGGCCGACGGCAAACTTCTTCACTGTCGGTGGTCTCGCAGCCTTCGTTGTCAATTCAGTCAATAAGTTGAATAACGAGACATTGAACTGTTCCAAGTCCCTGCCGGAGAATATCTTGCCGTCGTCGAGGTTTACTCCGGGTGTGACGCTGTCGTACCGGAAATACTTGCCGGTGTAACGCAGCATGCACTGGTCGTACCAGATTATGGCCTCGGTTCGGTTAGGGCAACGGGTAGTTAAGTCCTTAGCAGCGGCGGTGACGCAGTCTTCGCAGGCGGTAGGGGAGATCACGTCCCCGCGACAGAGGAAGAGGCCGTTGACGGCGTCGGTGGTTCCGAAGCCCATGATGGTCATGTAATAGCCGCCGAACTGGGAGGCGTTGGAGGTTAGGGAATAGAGGAGGACGTTGAGGTTTCGTTTGAATGTAGTGTTGGTGGGGAAGATGATGGCGTTTGAGCAGTAATGAGCTGTGTAATTAGAAGAAGCTTTGCTTGTGATGAAGAAGATGGTTAGGAACACCAAGAAGGAAGTGAATGCACAGAATTTGGAAGTCGCCATTTTTCTTTTGGTGTTGAGTTCTGATGTGTTGTTGCAGAACGAAATGTGACGATGATATTAGATTTTGTGCTATTTGATTATATGATGGAAGCAACTGTGGGATAATAATAATCAAAACATGGAACGAATATGAAAATTAAATGATGCTATGACTAACTGCAACGACAGCTGCTCTATATATACTTGAATATTTTAAAAATATATATCATCTTTGATTAATATTATTTTTAGTCATAAATGAGCCAGTTATTATCCAGTCTAACATAAAACTAAGTTTTTAATTTCACTATTTTAGGGAGAAAAGAAGAGGAAATGTGATCCCTCGATATTAATTAATAATTGGCCGGGTATTTAATTTGGAGGAGAAGTCAGTTGTGTTTGAATAAAATAATAAATTGAATGCTTCAAATGGGGCAGAATTTCTCTCTATCTCAAAGTCAATGAAAGATTGGGAAATCCATTTGTTGTTTTGTAAGCTTCCTAAGATATTATAATTGTTTGAACAGCTCGATTATCATTTTTTTTTCTGTAATCCTGTTACATATACAACAAACACATATTTATTAAGCATTAAGCAATCTATTGAATAATATTATTGCCGATTTTTTAAAATATAGTTATTCATTTGAATCAACCACGTAAAACTAACCATTACTTGTAATCAAAGGACTTATTCTAAATCTTTAACATATTGTCCGGTCAAATCCTTCACAGCTATCCATGACAACTATACTATTGAGGTTACAGATTGTAGTTTTTGAGGAAGGAAGCTTGGCCTAATACTACTTCGATTCCTATTATGAGTTACTTTTAAGGAAAAATTGATGGTTCTTATTATAATTCACCAAGTAGATGTCAATTATATTTTGTTAAGATTGTCCAGATTTAAAGTTTAATATGATTTTCTTTTTTTATTTCTTAGAATGTAATTCGTGGTTTTAAATTTTTGTAAATTTAATAACTTAATTGTCTCTTTTTTATTTGGTTCTGATATTGTGATTGGAGAAGACAGAGAGGAATTAATGTTGAGATTAATTAATTATTTGTAGGTAGGAGCTAAGTATTCTGGTTGCTTAGCCAGCAGCGAACGCCAGACAAAGTAATGGCAAGGTGAGAGTGGATTCTCACGGATGATTCATAAGCGTACGATCATGTAATTGAGCATTGGACGCATCGAATATGGTGAGGTTTTAAGATCTTCTGTTTTGTCCCCTTCTCGTTTAGACCCCAAAAACAAAATTTTGTTCTACTAATTTGTTTGTAATCCGTGACCATGATCAGAAAGGCTCTTTCTACCCTAAAGGAACTGATTACAACATGAGTTATTAGATAACGTCTCTAAATTCTTTTACTAACAAAATCCTCATGTAGTAGGATTTGCAATCACCTTATCAGAATTACAATAAGGGCCAAAATAAAAAAATTACAAAACAAGTTTCAGAAATTGTCATTCTTTACTTTATAATTTGTTGTTACGGGCTACTTAAATTATTATTGGGATTTTTTCATAATTATTTTTTTTTTGAAACTTGATTGTAATTCTCCCATTAAACAATGCAAAAGCTCGTACGTTTAAAATGGAGGAGATATTTTCATCATTACATGAAGAAAATTTTAATTCATCAAAGGTATTCAATTGATACTCTACTGAATTTGATGAATAATTACATATTCATTCGAAAATTTCAAATAACAGTTTTTAATGAGCTAAAATAAGACGCCAGTTAAATTAACTACATAATAATGTCACGGCTAAAAAATAATAAGAAAAACGATAAAATCAAGACTCTTTCCATTTATACATTGAGCCCAGACCCTAAAAATCTTGACTAAAATTTTTTTAAAAAAAAGGCACCCGTGATATAGTAGAAGCACAGAAATTAGTTGCCACGAACTTATTTTCTTAATATAAGATTTAGTTTTAACTGCAATCTACATATTACATTAATAAGTGTATGTAATATCTAATATGTTGTGTGTGGTATCCTATACGGTGTGCGACTGCCTCCTTTTCACAACCTCGCGCCTCCTTGGTGCATCTGATAAATAAGTAAATATTAACAATAACAATATAATATTATATATTTATATTAATTAAAATCTCAAAATCACAATTATTAAAGTGAATAAAATTTATTTATAAATCCCCATCGGCATTTTAGTCTGTCAGATCTGGAGCATAATTTCTCCGGATGCCACCAACAATGATTCGCAGAGGATGTTTGTGCCTATCTTATTAGCCTAATTTTATTGTTGGTGGCAAAGATTCTTTTAAGCCATTAAAAAACTTGAAAAACAACCTAATTAAGTACGTATATAAATACTCAATTTCCACAGAAGATACCAACACTTTACATCAAGCATGCATGCTTTACAAATCTATATTAGATATATGATGATAATAAAGTCCTCCTACATTTAATAATTTGAAAATCAATCACAATTATATATGTGTAGGGTGGTTCCATTTAAAATAGTTTTAAGTTGTATTGGTGTAAATAAGTCATAATTCCCTAATATATGATATTCTTTGCCAGGCGATTCGCGGGTGGAGACAGAAAATGAAGCAGGGGAAATATTACACACACACACACACACACGATTAAGTCACACGTTGCCACGTCAAACGATTAGAGTATTAAACACAAATTTAGATGTCATTTATTAATGCAAAACTCGAAAAACCTATATAACAGACATTCCTTTCGGATCTAATATCTTCCAATCACCATTTTCCATGTTGGTACATACTCTCAGATTTAACTGGAACACAATTTCTCCAGACTCTATCTATATCTCTATCTTAGCCCGCCTATTCAATGCTCATCTTATTGATGACCACTATAAACTTATCAGATTTAGACCATTTATATCTAATTTAAACGGTTTAGATTTAAAATATTTAATTATTTATTTTTAAATAAAAAATTATTTTTTGAAAGAATAATAGCTAAGAGATTATCTTTATTTTAGATCCTTTACACATTAAAATAATTATTTTGGATAAAAAAATTAAAAAAATAAATCCAGATTATCCAAATGAGATATGTACAGTCCAAATCTGATGAGTTTGTGGTGCTCATAAAAAAAATGAACATGAAACTGATTCCCCTAGCCTACCTATCAGCCTCTATTTCATTGCAGAATCTCACCATTTCCTTCCGTCACATCGTAGATTCCAACTTCAATAACAAACTTTTAAAACCTTATCTCCGTGATATATCAAAATAAGTCAATCGTTTATTCTTAAGATTGAGAGTGAAACTTTGCCAACTCGTACCTAATAGCTCTGCCACAAGTTGACATATAAGTATAAATATGATAATAAGTGCAGTTAAATGGTTTCATAAAACAAAGTAGTAATTAATGACTATTGCTCAAGTCATGTACACATTTGCAACCACTACAGAAATTCTAAATGACAACAAAAATATAGAAGGCACATATACAAGTAAATCCCACACCAAATTATTTGATATAGAAAGCTTCCAACTGACAGAAACTATCGAGGGAAAAAAGTGCTCTTGGACATGTCGTTGATGGAAGAAGGTCCTGAGCTGCAATCAATGGACGGTTGTCCTGAGCTGCGATCTCCATCTTCCATGTTGGTTGATTTCCCAGCACTGTACCTGAAGAGTGCAGGTTCTCTTGGAAATGGCAAATCAATCAATTGGGTATTGAGGTATGAAATAACTGTGGCCATTGTGGGTCTATCATCTGGGTCTTCTTGTACACACAATAACCCAATTTGAATGCACTTTATGACTTCAGTGTGAGAGTATGTTTCTTTTAGGGTTGACTCCATAATTTCCAGTGGGGTATGATTCCTCCACTGTCTCCATGCCTACAGGAAAGTCTCAAATAACATAACATTTACATTTCGTTCATTGTTCCATTCTGCTCCGTTTATGAATTATGTATATAACGGATAAGTCGATTAAAAAAAAATATCAAAATTTCATTAGAAGGTATATTAGCTAGAGTTTAACACGAACCTGGCTTAAAAGATCTTCAAAAATCTTTGAAATCGGGGATCGAGCAATTCTTTTTGCACTAATTATTTGTAGGATTATAACTCCAAAACTATATATATCTAATTTTTCTGAAAACCGCCCATACATTGCATATTCAGGAGACATATAACCACTGCACAAACAAAAACAAAATCAATACAAGAAATAATATAGAAGGAAATAACTATGTTTATGGAGCAACAACTGTTGAAGTTTTGAGCAACTTTAAGAACTCATTTTCCCTACCATGCACGAAAAAGGATAAAGGTCGAGTATACTTACTATGTTCCAACTATTCTATTAGTAATTTCCTGATTTTGATTTGTAGCAACTATTCTTGCTAAGCCAAAGTCAGATATTTTTGGATTCATGTTATCATCTAACAACACATTGCTGGGCTTGAGATCACGATGTATAACTTTGAGCCGTGAATACTCATGTAGATATAGAACTCCTCTTGCAATATCTCCTATGATCTTATAACGTTCTGACCAATTTAATATCCTTCGCTTTGGATTAGTATCTAAAAGTTCACCAAAGAGTATATTATTTTATGTTAGAAAATGTACGAGTGCCATACTAATGATCATTAAGTTAAAATCAAGTTGAAAATAAAAAGTACTATTCCAAAATGCTAAGCTTCAAATGAAGGCAAAAAAGTTGGTCATACCAAATAAAAAGTAATCAAGACTCTTGTTAGGCACATATTCATAGATAAGCATTTTCTCGTCTTCTTCCAAGCAAAACCCAATCAAGGCAACCAGATTTCTATGTTGAAGATTGGCAATAAGTGAAATCTCATTCTTAAATTCCACCACACCCTGCTTAGATTTACTTGAAAGTTTCTTAACTGCTATTTCGCGTTTATCTGGAAGCACACCCTGAAAATATAAATGTCAACAATCAGAACTTAACATATACATACGTGCGCCGCAAAAAAAAGCATATATAGATAAAAATATAAAATATACATTTCCTTTTGTTATTGTTAAATACACCGATCACCTTGTAGACTTCCCCAAATCCACCTTTGCCTATTTTGTTAAGCTGTGAAAAATTGTTTGTCGCAGCTTCAATTGTGGCAAAAGAGAATTGCAACGACTCTAGAGGAGTAAGTTCTTCTCCATCTATTATATATATATAATCGTATACCAAGTTGAATTTCAGCAATCTTTTAGATAAACCAAAGCAGAATGGTTTAAATTAATGAACTTTCATTTGAAACATTAATTACTCACGGCTTTCATTAAGTACTGCAGTCTTATGCCTCTTCCGTATTTTCAGCAGGAAAAGCCCTCCGAGACAGAAGATCATAACAACAACTGAAACTGGGACAACAACTAGAACAATTCTTCGTGTTTCATTTATCTCCTTTCCTGCTCAAATAATTGCTGGAAAACTTTAGTCTCCATCTAAAGCATCAGCAAGATGAAACCAACCCAGCAAGATTAACCATAGAAGAACTAATCGGTTGCTAGTAACCTCATGGTCGATTTGTGGCACAGTTATGAACAAATACATTTAATTACCTGACGGAGGAGGAAATCTTACAACAGGTCCAGGTGATACAGCCGTTACATTGTAAAAGGGGTACAGTTCATATCTGATGTTGCACGAAGCAAGAAGAACCCTCGCCCCTTGTTTTCCCACACAACAATTACCAACAAAAGTTTCGATGGCCTTTCGCAAACATGTCTCACACTGATCACTGGTTAAATCATGCGTGCACTGTTCTAAAGCATACAGCGTCGTCAACGGCGAGCTCGATAATATCGCTTCGCCCACAGCAAACTTCTTCACCGTCGGTGATTTCGCAGCCTTCGTACTCAAGTCATTGAGTAAGCTGAATAAAGAGAAGTTGAACTGTTCCAGGTCCCTGCCGGAGAAGATCTTACCGTCATCGAGGGTTACCCTAGGAACGGCACTGTTGAACCAGAAAAACTTGTCGGTGTAACGCAGCATGCACTGGTCATACCAGATTATGGCCTCGGTTCGATTAGGGCAACGGGAAGTTATGTAATTGGCAGCGGCGGTGACGCACTCTTGGCAGATTGTGTGGGAGACGATGTCGCCACGGCAGAGAAAGAGGCCGTTGACGGCGTCGATGGTTCCAAAGCCCATGATGGTCATGTAGTAGCCGCCGAACTGGGAGGCGTTGGAGGTGAGGGAGTAGAGGAGGACGTTGAGGTTTCGTCGGAATGTGGCGTTGCGGATGGTGGCGTTTGAGCAGTGATGAGCAGTGTAATTAAAAGAAGCTTCGCTTGTGAAGATTGTTAGGAAGACGAAGAGGGAAGAAGTAAGTGCGTAGATTTTGGAAGTAGACATTTCCGTTTGGTCTTTTGGGTCATGATATGTTGGAGAAAGAAATTAAATGCGACGATGATATTAGCTTTGAGGAGGGATGGAATTTATAGAGTGAAGTCAAAGGTCAATGGAAAATTTTTCAAGACCCAGGAACATTTTTTCATTTTCTTGAAAAAAATGAGTGAATTCGAGGAATTTAATTGATATTAACTTCTTTAGAGGGGAGAGTACTTGTTACTTTCCCAGAATATTATATATGGCTATAGTTGCAGAAAAATTAAAAAAAAATACTACCACGTACTCTTATTTATATTTTTTTAATCAACAACACACTACTTACTTTAACCTCTAGTTAACTCGCATCAAATAACGTTTTGCTTATTTTAGGATGAAAAACTTAATCTGCAAGTCCTTATTTTAGCCCATGCAAGATCTATGTGGCAATGTGTGTGCCTGGTCAGACGTTCCTCAATGCCACATCATACTCTTGTCAGCTTAAACTAACAGAATCTTGACAGAATTGGCACTAGTAACTGAATAAACAATAAGAATTGAATAAAAAGGAAAAAAAATTATAAGGACCTGATCCAAAACTTGATAAAACTATAAGCACTCACAGATTAATTTTTCCTTTTAGGAATAAAAAGGAAAGAATACTTTCCCAACATTCACTATGAATGTTTTTTTTTTTGGGAGAATTATATTCAAGTCCTACAGAAGAAAAATAATCATTAAAAAGTTCCAATAACAATCTGAGCAGCCTGTAATGACAATTCCGACATTGAGAATGACAACTTCTGGGATTTGTTTTTCAATTATTTTTCTTATTTGGGACCTCATTGTAATTCTCTCTTCTTCTTCTTTTTTTTTTTTTGCCTTCAAATAGAAATTGTGTCGTATCATTTCATCAAAGAAAATTATACAAAAGCAACTTCTTGTCTATCATCTTTAATAAATTATTACCTTCGGTCCTTAATATAAAAGCTAGTTGAGTAATATGAGTAAATTAAGAAAACTATTTAAGTTAACTATTTGTACTAAATAGGTGTTCTCTTTCCTAAAATATCATTGCTAATCAAGTATATTGGTTAGAATTACTATTATTACAAGGGTTACTTTAAAAAAAATAAATATAATAAACAAAATAGATTAGGATCTTATATTTCTAATCAAAATAAAAATTAAACGAGTTCTTATATTAAAGACCGGAGGTAGTAAAAAAGAATTATAATGATAATGCGCCATTCATTGGCCAAAAAATTGGCATCCTTTATTATGATTTTCTTCATTTAACACAAAATTAGAAGTAGTTGACAATTCATATGCAAGAGTTTTCTCGTGGAACCTCAAACGTAAATACGAAAAATGTGGTAGCAAGTCGTATTCAATGTAGCGTGGAGCTAAATATTGTTTAGAATCATTAATTGTTCTTTTAATTTGCAGGATGATCTAAGTATTTCTGGTAGGTGGCCCAGCAGCGAACATTGGAATATTAGTGACTATTCTAACACACCATTAGTTAGTGTTAGTAACTTAGTATTGACCATATAAAAACCATTGCGAGCTTGCAACGCATCTATATATCATACACGCTAATTCCTCCTGTACTTAATCCAAGAGTTAATTAAGATATTAAATTTAATTCCAAGTACGAGATCTCAATTTATTTTCTCACTTATATCTATCTCTTTTTTTCAAACAAATTTATTTAACTTATAAATTAGTATATAATACAATGTTATATAGGAATATTTTAGAGAGACATCATATCATAGTTATTATAATTAACTAATTAATTTATTTAACTTTTTAAATCTATCTAAGTTAGTTAAGTAACACAAGAGTATAGTATAATATTGCATAACATTCTAAGCCGAGTGAGAGGGATCTTCTACCCGAAGCAAACTAATTAGAATATCAGCCACTATGTCATGTCTATTTTGTTTAAATTTGAGCAATATTTGATGTCTAATTTTTGGTGTATGGGCGCATGGACTATGCTTTTTCAAATTTGTTTTCCACAATTGTATTTTTAATAATTTTTAAATTTTTAAAATTTAAATAGACATTATTTTTTATACAAAAAAATATAATTTTATGCTTAACATAACAATAAAAACAATTTAAAATTTTGCTTTTGATATCTATAAATGTATATATTATGCAAAAATTAATTTTATAGACCAAAATTGAATTAAAAAAAATTCATATTCACTAACAAATATCTAGAAAATAATGAACTTTATCAAGTATAACTTAATCTCGTTTACAAAATTTATATATCTTAATTGATTATATGATATGATTGTTTGTTTCCGATAGCTACAGAACAACCATTTATATGTATGTGTATATAAAATAGAGTTAGACAGTGGGAAGACGCCTATTTATTTGGTGAACAATCCATGGAGGTGTTACAAAAATATATGGAGCAAAGAAAAGGTTAAAAAAAAACACCTAAAAAGGACTCGGGTCCCTGTTAGGCTGTTGGCATATTATCTGAAGTTTTCTTAATCATAATAAAACAAATTATTATCTTGCTATTGGAAAACAATGTTATATCCGTTTTAAGGGGAGTTATTCTTTTTTTTTTTTTGGGACAACAGGCGGGACACTACTGCGCACGCATGCATAGAAGAGTATAAAGACTGAATATTTTAATATTAATAAATATAAAATTATGCCTTTAATTTTTTTAAAATTTTTATGAACCAATTTCTAGTCAGGTTTGTCAAAGGTTAAGCTGCAAATTTATTCAAAAAAATTTCACTCAAAAATATTAGGTACCTAAAAGTCTTTTAGTTTAATATTTACATTAGTTTTTTTTTTTTAGTGTTATAAGATAAAATGGTATGATTTTAAACTTTCAGAGCAACATCAAATAAAAAATTTTCGAGTATAGAACGATCCCAAGTAAAAATTTGTAGAGCAAACTTGCATCTTAGTCTTGCTAAATTCAGGGCATGTTGGGCCGCTTTTGGACACGGTCGGCACAAAACAACTCATCTCTGTTGACCAACGGGGGTTGGTCCGAGTGGTAAGCGGCTCGGTTCTGCTTAAGTGAAGTCTCGAGTTCGATTCCTCATGGATGTAGAAAACCCGTGCTGGGAGACTCACCCACCATACCCAGGTGTGCGACACGGGTCGGATCCGGACGTAGTCAGAGCTTTGTTCTGGTGAACCGGATGGGGAACAAAAAAAAAAAACTCATCTCTGTTGATGCTTTCTAGCTTATTTTTCCAAATTATTTCTGCGACCAAAGAAAACCAAAGACACAGGTCAAACAACTTTCTACGTTCTGTTTTCGTGTGGCTGATGGCAGAAACCTACAAGAAGCTATGGCAGCAACCCAATAGGCTAACAATTAAAGGCTTTTAGCTCCAAGTTCCAATCGTTGATACGTTGTACTAAGCCCACCTAAAATTACTTCTTTTGATCTTAAATCAATTTGCCCCTTGTTAAGTCATCCTACCAAATTCAAATAAAACCATAATCTGATCAGTTCCGTCGTCGTAAAATTAGATTATTCGCATTCTCTGTCATCGATCATTTTCAACCTGGACAACCGAAACCTTAATAATTGCACTGCGTAGTAAAGTTTGCCCGAGAGATGAGAATTAGTCTATTTATATCGTTAAAATAAATGTTTATAAGATGATTGTCACTTGTTCCGGCTAGGATCAGAATAACCATTTGAAAATTCTTTAATATAAGAGCTAGTTGATTAATTTAATTTAAGTAAATTAAAAAAACTAATTAAATTAGTTATTTATAATAAATAGATGTTGTGTTTTCTAAAATATCTTTAATAATCAAGTATATTACTTAGAACTACTATTATTACAGTTACTATTTTCAAAAAAAAGGGATCAATATGAAAAACATAGTGAATTAGAATCTTATATTTAGAATCAAAATAAAATTAAACAAGTTTTATATTAGAGTTTTATATTAAGGTTGTGTATGTCTGTGTATATATAAAATAGAGTTAGACAATGGGATGTCGCATATATACATTCCTTGCAGAAACGGAGCTCAGACACCCTTCTATGCTCTGTTTTCATGTGGTTGTTGGCAGAAACCTAGAAGAAGACATGGCAGCAACATCAGTAGACTTCCAATTGAAGGCTTTTAGCTCCAAGTTCCAATAGTCCATGCTTTATATTTAACCTCACTAAAATTACTTTTTTAAAATCTTAAACAAATTGGCCTATTATTAAGTAATCCCAACAAATTCAAGTAACACCATAATGTGATCAGTTACCTCGTGCTTAAATTAGATCATTCCTATTCTCTCTTATAGACTTGTAGACCCAGACAATTTTTGACAGATTAGAGAATTTTGCATCACATGCCAACTAGAGACTTCTCTCAATTCATATCTAAATTTCTAGGATATACGTAATTTCCTCTTCTCTGGGTAAGTAAAATCTGAAAATGCAGGTCATTTATTAATGCACCAACATCTCTGTTCTTTGGACTCTTATAAAAGGGTGACAAAGTCTTTTGCTACGTATCAAACTTCTATATTCTAAGATCTCCCCCCCAAAAAAAAATCTCCAAGAACCTGTATTATATTCTAAATTTCTAATATTATACACGAATAAAAGGACTCAGAGCTTCAAAGCCAACAAAAGGAGAATATCCCAGCAAAAAGAGGTGTTGAGAGGTTAAGTCCCCACATCATATTGTCAAAAGCACTAGGATTAGCTTCTGTACTCATCTCCATGAGAATGATCTTGAAGTGATCACCTGGAGAATAAGGTTGTTAGCCCCATTCTGAAGCTGTAACGAGTCTGTTGAAGTTTGTAAGCAGTTAGAGCTATATAAAGTCATGAACTCAACCAGATAATGCAAACTTCTTTTTTTTTTGGTGGGGGGGGGGGGGTGGTTACCTTTATCGAGGGTAAACGTCAGTGATGGGTGCTTCATCTGTAGACCATAGAATCGAACATGTAGATTGGTCAGAATCAACAACATTGTTTTGCCTGTTTGGTGTTCTTCTGCCCAGTAAGGATGCAGGCTTTCGAGGCAATGACAAAGTAACAGAGTAACTGTTGAGCATGAGTACTATATTTGCCATCGACGGTCTGTCAGAAGGGTTCTCCTGAACGCATGATAAAGCAATATGGATACATCTTATGACTTCATTTCTTGAATAAGAACCTCTCAGTGTTGGATCCAACAACTCCAGAGGTGTTTTTCGTGTCCAGTTATTCCAGGCCTGGGATTACACAAGGAGTCAGTGTTCAGAACTGGAATCTATCAAAGAGTGAAGTAAAGATGTTATAGAGTTTTTACTTACATAGCTTAAGAGGTCATTGGCTTGATGTGATTGGTACAAATCAGTGTTCTTCTTGCCAGTAATAATCTCTAAAACCAAGACACCAAAGCTAAACACATCTGATTTTACAGAAAATTGTCCGTGCATCGCATACTCTGGAGACATGTAACCACTGCAAAGAAACAAAATAAATCCATTTCGCGTGGAATAATAATGAAAAACTCCAAATAGAAACAAAGGAATCATGAGAAACTTACAAGGTCCCAACTATTCTTCCTGTATTTGCTTGAGCCTGATCACCTTGGAAGATTTTTGCCATACCAAAGTCTGAGATTTTAGGATTCATACTAGCATCTAGTAGGACATTACTAGCTTTGAGGTCACGATGAATTATTCTAAGTTGAGAATCTTCATGGAGATATAGCATTCCTCGAGCAATGCCTGCAATAATCTTGTAGCGTTTTGGCCAATCTAGTCTTGTTTTCCTTTCAGGATCTAAAAGTTTGAGAGAAGTGAGATTTTCAGGCTAGTAATTGCTGGATTATGAATAAACATGATAACACCGAGGGATTATCATAAATTAGTTGTGCTTCTATTAAGGTCTGGTATAATTATAACAATTAATTATTGACCTGAAGGACTAGATTTATAGAGATCCAAAGCATTGGAAGAGTTGTCAAAAGATTCTTACCAAATAGAAACCTGTCGAGGCTTTTGTTTGGGACATATTCATAGATAAGTATCTTCTCTTGCCCTTCTAAGCAAAATCCCAACAACCTCACTAAATTCCGGTGTTGAAGTTTGGCCACAAGAGCCGCTTCATTTCTAAACTCCATAGCACCCTGCAAGGAGGTTACCGACAACCTCTTCACAGCTATCTCCTGTCCGTTTGGAAGGATGCCCTGAAAACATGATCAGGATTAGACCAACTTTTCTTAGTTTAGCAGACAAATATGACAGCAATTTGCAGCTAATAAGCTGTGTACCTTATAAACTGCCCCATATCCACCTTGGCCAATCTTGTTCTTATCTGAGAACTTTTTCGTGGCAGCTTCTATGGCTGCCAATTCAAATTGCAAAGACTCTATTTCTGAAATATCAATCCCAGCTTCAACCGGGAAAAAAAGAAGAAAGAATCTGTCAGCCATCAGAGTGCTAAAACCATATCTAACCTTGATCTCAAAACGAAACAGGAACAATCCAAGGAAATACTACTCACCATCCTCTGTGAATGAGTTGTACTTCTTGCTTGCTCTCTTACGGAGGAAACAACAACCCACAACGAGAAGTGCCAAAGCAACAACAATTGGAACAACAATCGCAACAATCATTGAGATATTTCTACTTCCTGCTCAAAAAATGGTCACTGTAAACCCCAATAACGACATGATTTTGAACAAGCTAATATACGATCCTTACCTGAAGTAGGGGGAACCAGTGGTTCAGCGGATAAGTGGGTTATATTGTAAAACCGATAAAATTCATATCTCATATTACATGACGGAGCCAGGACATTTGCCCCCTTGCTCCCGCTACAGCAACTTGGAAGAGATGCAATGGCACTGCTGAAACAAGAATCACAAGTAGAAACGGCCAAGTCAGGAGTGCAATGTGCGAGGCCGTACAAGGTTTCCGACGACGTGAAGTTCACTTCCGCCGTAGCAAACCTCTTCCCTGTCTGGGTATTAGCTTTTGCTGTCACATCCTTCAACAAGTTCGACAGCACGCCGTCGAATCGAACCCGTTCCGAGCTAGCTATGGTGTCTTCGTTTCGCAAACTCACATAAGGAACCATGGCGTTCAAGTCCCCGTTCGAGTAACGAAGCATACACACATCGTACCAGATTATGGACTCTGTTTGGTTTGGGCAGAGGCGTCTTATCTCCTTGGATGCGGCGGCAACGCAAGGCTGGCACACGGCGGGGGTGACGTCGCCGCGACAGAGGAAAAGCCCGGTGATGGTGGAAGGGGTTGACGGGGACACGGTGGTACGGTAGTAACCGTCGGGGAGAGAAGCGTTGGAGGTTAGGGAAGAGAGAAGAAAGTTCAAATTGGCTTGGAATGTACTGTTGTTGGGTCCGAAATAGCTTCCATTAGTACAGGAATAACTTCTAAATTCTGGAGCAGCCTCGGGTGTGAAGCTCAGAAATCCCAAGAGAGAAAGGACGATGAAGACGGACATGGTGGTGAACAGAAAATTGGATTGGACATCAAAATTATCACCGATCAGTGCTGATTAAGTTTTGTTTTGTTTTGTTTTTCCAGGACATGCACTAAATGGAGGTAGACTGGTTGCCACTGGCATTAAATCAAGTCAATGCTGAGGGGATGGAAAGTCGGAAACAATTGTAGTTGTGGGCCCACTTTGACTTGTCTAACACGAACCAGAGAGGTCAAATGCATTCCTTCCCCACGCCACATGTGCTTTGATTACCCTCACCTTGCAACCAATACCTCTCTGCCCAATTAGGTGATCACCGTTACAATTACTATACCTCCTGTAGGTGATATAAATATAATAGCTCGCCGGAGTTCAATTTAATTCAAAATATAAGAATTTAATTAACTTTATTTTTTTAAAAAATTCTTACTCCTATTGATTATAAGAAGTCTTTATAAGGGGTAACCCTAATGTTCATGATTAAATAAGGTAGTTTAGTAAAATTTAAAACGGATTTATTATAAATAAATAATTTAACTGAATTTTTAATTTTTTAAATTAGTTATCTAATTTTTATTAAAAAAACAGTAATTAAGAAGAATACAAATATTTTTAATGGAGAAAGAGACATTAGAACTCGTGAAATATATGAATCTCAAAATTGCTGATTTAAATGTTTTAGTTCCTATGAAATCCTCGAGGATCATTTTCAACTTTATTTTTCTTCAGAAATAACCTAATTAACAAGTTTCTAAAAAAACTATTAGTACTCTCTAGAAGTGTTTTAATTTTTACGTTCAGATAAACTCAAACCCATGTTTGACGGGGGAAAAAATAATCCCAAGCCCGTGACCTGAGCTTAACTGTTATAATATATTTCACTAAAGCCTGCATTTGGTGGCATTTTCAAAACAAATTGCGTTAATTATGCGAGTTAAATGCCGAATCTTATAACTATAGTATCTATTAGCTAAATAAGTCTTTTCATATATTATTGTGAAATTTCAGTAGTTTTTAAAAAATATTTTTTCATGCTAAAAATTGAAATATTAGCTACAATTTTTTCACATATTAATGTCAACTTTAAAAAAATTGTTTTGAAATTCATTTGTGTTTATGTGTGTGTATGGTTAAACAAGGTTTTTAAATCTCCCATATTACAAGTTGAAAATTCAATCTCATATCTTCCACATTTGAGGGTCAAGTTTTTTTTTAATCTTCCATAGGAATTTAACACTCATTTTCCACAATTAAATATTGACTATATGATAATCTGCAATTAATCTTAATCTCATAGCTTTTAACATGAAACATCTTGGAGGAAAAGATATGTAATTTCATATAATTGTTACAGGCAAAATTAAACTGATATATTGCTTTTGACGTTCCACTTTCTCTTCTATTTTCTTTGAACGAAGGGACAACAAACATTTTTGCCTTATGCCTGAATATTTGAACAAGCCTGAATATTTGTAAATCAAGTAACACTGGCATTCTAAAAGCTCTCAGAACTCTAAATTTCAAATCATGCACATATAACTCGGAGGTTATGAACTCTTCGAGAGAAAGCCGTTTGAGTAAATTACATTGCGTGCAGCACTTGGCTTAGCTTCCAGACTCTGCTGCATCAGAATGATATCTTGAACTTGAAGTGATCTCCAGCAGAATTAGCCAGTTGGCCTCATCCTTGAAGAAGAAAGTAATTGAGATTGCGTGCCAAAAGGTCCTGGTACATCTTCCATTATTTGTTATGAAGCTGCAAAAGGCCTGAAGTTAAGGACTTGGAACTAAATACATGGACTCAACTGGATTCATTCAAAAACATAAATGAATTAGATAAACGCCCACTTGATGGAACATGAACCTGTTATCGGGGGTAAACTTCAGTAATGGATGCTTCATTTGTAGACCATAGGATTGAACAGGTAGATTGGTCAGAATCAACAACATTGTTTTGCTTTTGCCTGTTTGGTGTTCTGCGCATGAAAGCTGCTGGCTGTCGAGGTATTGACAAAGTAACAGAATAACTGTTGAGCATCAGTGCTATAGTTGCCATTGAAGGTCTATCAGAAGGATTCTCCTGAACACATAATAAAGCAATATGAATGCATCTTATGACTTCATTTCTTGAATAAGAACCTCTCAGTGTTGGATCCAATAACTCCAAAGGTGTTCTTTGTGTCCAGTTATCCCAGGCCTGTGGTTACACAAAGAGTCAGAGCCCAAATTTGGAATCTACCAGTTGTTACTAACCAAAATCCATATTTGAGACGTATTTGCAGCTGACATTGAAGGAAAAGATGGTATACTTGCTGAGTTTTCACTTACGTAGCTTAAGAGGTCATCTGCTTGACGTGATTGATTAAAATCAGTGTTCTTCTTACCAGTAACAATCTCCAAAACTAATATACCAAAGCTGAACACATCTGATTTAACAGAAAATTGCCCACGCATTGCATATTCTGGAGACATATAACCACTGCAAAGAAAGATTATTAATCTATAGGTCGAGAGAAAATAATGAATAACTCTTGCCAAAGAAAATGTCTAAAACTTACAAGGTTCCAACTATTCTTCCTGTGTTCACTTGAGTTTGATCTCCGTGAAAGATTTTTGCCATACCAAAATCTGAAATTTTTGGATTCATATTGGTGTCTAATAAAACATTACTCGCTTTGAGATCACGATGTATTATTCTAAGCTGAGAATCTTCATGAAGATAAAGAATTCCTCGAGCAATTCCCATTATGATCTTGTAACGCCTTGACCAATCAAGCATTGTTTTCTTTTCAGAGTCTACAAATCCATCAAAGTGAAATTATCAAGTGAATAAAAACAGGATTACTTGGTAGAAAAGGGTAACATCATGTGAATACTAAGAAATAACTCTGCTTTTGAATATTTACATCAACGAAATATTCGCATCCAAGACTTGATTTGTATAGGGATGTCAAAAGCTAGAAGTATTGAGAAAAGGTCAAAGTTCAAACCAAATAGAAAGTGATCAAGGCTTTTGTTTGGGATGTATTCATAAACAAGTATCTTCTCTTGCCCCTCCAAGCAAAAACCCAACAGCCTCACTAAATTCCTATGTTGAAGCTTGGCTACAAGAGCAACTTCATTCTTAAATTCCAAAGCACCCTGCAAGGAGGTTACTGATAACCTCTTCACAGCAATCTCCTGTCCGCTTGGGAGGATACCCTGTGCACATGCTGGAAATTAGACCAATTTTTCTCAATTTAACGGACAGATATAACAAAAAGTAGCATTAGAAAGTCAATTACCTTATAAACTGCACCAAATCCACCTTGGCCAATCTTGTTCTCGTCTGAGAACCTTTTTGTGGCAGCTTCTATTGTCGCCAATTCAAATTGCAGAGACTCTGTGTCTGTAAGATCATTCCCCACTGTATTTCAAATAGATGGAAAGAAAGCTGTGAGCCACCAAATTACTATCTTGTCCAATATTGGAAACAAGAATTGAAATGTAACACAGTGACAACAATTATTAAGATAGGAAGGAGATATTACTGTCATCCTCTGCGAAAGTATTAAACTTCTTGCCCTTGCTAGCCCTCTTACGCAGGAAACAGCAAGCCGCAACAAAGAGTGTCACAGAAACAACAATCGGCACAATAATCGCAACAATTATTGCGATTTTGCTTTTTCCTATAATCAACCCAAGAAAAGAAGGATAAAGAAAAGAACTATAACTTAATAAACCTCTGGACACTGTCCCCTTTGCTCACATCTAGACATAATACGGCTGCTTATCAAATTTCTGATAGGATTAGATAAAGTGAAATTAAATTTTTTAAGGCTGAAATTAAAAGCACCAACGAACAACTTGATCTATTTTAAACCTATGTAACTTATTCTTGTAAACTGACGTGTATGAACAAAGTTTGCCCTCTTCTTGCGTAGCTGTATCACTGAACAAGATTACCAGGTTATTTCCTGAGGCTAGTCAATGTATATGCATTCACTTGCTTTTCTCTCAGCATTAGGATTCAGAAAATTACCTGATCGAGGAGGACCTGGCCCTGCAGAAGATGTAGTTATGCTGTAAAATGGGTAAAGTTCATATCTAATGTTACATGCCGGAAGAAGAACCGTTGCCCCCTTCTTGTTGCCACAGCAATTTGGCAGAGCTCCAATGGCGCTTTGGAGACACATGTTGCAATCAAAAGATGTCAGGTCTGGGTAACACTGTAAAAGGCCGTACAACGTTTGTGACGATGTTGGGTTCACTTGTCCCGTGGCAAATTTTTTCCCCGTCTGGGAACCCTGAGCTTCTGCCGCCAATTTTTGCAACAAATCCGACAACAATTTATTGAACTGATCCTGTTCGGCGCTAGCTATAGTACCGTTACTCGATAAGTCCGTGGAAGGGACGATGTTGTTGAAGGTGTTGTTCGAGTAACGAAGCATACAAACATCGTACCAGACGATAGACTCCGTTTGGTTTGGACACTGGCGCCTTATCTCTTTGGCGGCGTCGGAGACGCACTCTTGACACAGTGTGGGGGTGGCATCCCCGCGGCAGAGGAAGAGGCCGTTGATGACGGCGGGAGTTCCCTGATCCAACGTGGTACGGTAGAAACCGTCGTGGAGGGAGGCGTTGGAGGTAAGAACAGAGAGGAGGACATTCAAATTAGCTTCAAATGGGCTATTGGGTTTGTATGTGAGTGAGTCCGTACAGGCTTTGCTGCTGAAGATAGGAGATGCTTCGCTTGTGAAACTCAGAAATGGAAGCAGAGTGAGAAGGATGAAATGCGTTGCAGAGAATTTGGGGAAGGACATATTGCTCAACAATAATTCTCTTCAGCTCCAACGCTGCTGAAAGGACAAAGGCATATAAGTTTATGGCATTCAGTTAACAACTCTATCGATGTCGTTACCTATTGATTTCAATCTTTCAGGCTTTGCGTTGAACTGTGGGTGGATTGAGGGGAACGCCATTTCTGATACAAGTCAACAAGGCACCTTTCTGCGCTGGGAAGATCCTTAGTTATTGTTATTTTTTGTCCTAATTATAAAATTTTATTGATAACCTACAAATAAAATTTATTTATTTATAATTAGGATTGAAAGTACTCATTCTAAATATAAGACTCTTTTATAATGTAAAGTATATTATAAAAAGAGTTTTATATTTAAAATCGGAAAAGTAGTATTTAATAAGAAGGAAACTCTTATACATATTCATATATACTTAGAACAATATCCGATCTAAACGGTGAAAACACATTTGTTAAACTAATTTTCAAAACAGTAACAGTAATTTCTACTGGTGTTTGTGAAATTAAATGATTTCATAAAACAAGTTTTCTAAAAAAATTTACTTAAATAATTTTTCGAGTAATTAATTTTTTTACGGAAAAAAAAACTCTTTGAAATTGTTTTGTTGAATGTGGCATCCAAATACCGTCTAAACCTGTTAAAAGTAGTTTGCTCAAACACAACTTTTTAATCATTAAGATTAAGTTCTTAATTTCATTTTTTAAAATTGAATACTCTCCTCTCGCCAATTTTTTTTTTTTTTTTTATGAAGAGACAAAATTTTTTAGAAAGTTAATCTAAATTCTCCATCCATCAAGTCCCATCATGCCAGTTGCCTGAGAGTATTATTTTCCGGGGGGTTAACATCGTGGATCATGCCACCGATGGCAGGACGGATGGCATCCAAAATTCAAAAGAAGAATAGTCAAAGAGGGTCATTCATACGTCATCCGTGATGATGGAGAAATAAGTTAATAACCCGCACAGTAAGATAATGACTGCTTTTTCTTTTTTTTTTAAATGACTTCATGAGTCAAAATCGACGGCCGGCTGATACCCCACATATTTTGTTATTGATTTGATTTATTGATTATTGATAAATTCCCCCAAGTACCATACCAAATACCAATTGCTCTTCTGCACAAATAAATTATTCGACATTAACTATTACCATATAAAAATATTGCATCATTTTTAAAATTTTTAAGAAAATACTGCAAAGTTAAAAATATCACGCATGTAAAGGAGAGGAGAGAATTTTTTTAATAAGTTTAATTTAAAAAATAAAAAATGTTATTTTAAAATTTTAATGGAAAGAAATTGTAAGATAAAAAAAATAAAAATTAATTAGAAGTTTTTAATTTTATTTCTTCAATTAAAATTTTGTTCCCTCCCTTTCTCTCCATTTCCTTCGTACCGAGGACTCTATAATTTTGTTACAATGTTTTATAATTAGCAATTTTCAGTGAAATATACACTGGTCAATGGTCAACGCATATACAAAACAAATACTTCAAACTAAAACTCAAGCTTCTGCCCTTCCATCAGACGCAACTTCTCCTCCTACCTCACTGCGGCAGGTGGCACTTCCCAGGCTCTTCCAAAGCTCAGTCTTGGGCTGAACTTTCATTAATATTTTGTCCTAATTTTTAACTTCCCAAATTTTCTTCCGAGTCATGCCACCCCTCATCCATACGATTATACTTCAGGCAAATTCTGCATTTTGATTCAGGGGAAATAAGTCAGAAGCCTGGATCAGAGGTTGACAAGAGTAAATATAATAACTTTCAAAGGATTGACTTTAGAATCTAATCTTATCTTTACCGTTTTCCTACACAACACTAGCATATATCTTCCTTGTTTTCGAGCGAAAGAACAGAAGCCGAAGGCAAAAAGTGTTACCGAAGCAGCAATTGGGATGATGAATCCAAGAATCACTGAAACATGGCTCCTTCCTGTATCAGTATTGGTCCAATCACAAGTCAATCAAATTGGCATATGTTAGCTAACATACAAGGAAGAATCAAAACCCTCTAATTATAATCATGCTAATACTTTGGATAGCTAATAACTATGCAGAACCACTTTGTCATCAGCAACCAAACCCTCGAATAGCAAAACGAAGAATCTGGTTAATGTTAGATATTGGGATATCTGGGCTTTTGAGTACCTGAAGGACGAGATTGAACGGCGGGAGGATTCGATGATGGGGTGGTATTGAAAAATGGGAAGAATTCATATCTGATGTTGCAGCCAGGAAGCAACACCGTCGCTCCCCGTTTTCCGTCACAGCAGTTAGGAACAGAGGCGATGGCGCTTCTCAAACACATATTGCAGTCAAACGCCGTCAGATCCGGCGTGCACTGTACTAATCCGAACAACTTCTCTGTTCTTGTGAAGTTCACTTCCTTCGTCTCAAATTTCTCCTTCTGAGAAATCACAGCTTTATCCGCCAGAGAATTTAGCATACCGGCCAGCAACTCATTGAACCTCTCCTTATCCTCCGGAGCTACGTTCTTCGTATTAGACAGGTCAGTGGAAGGTACGATGTTGTTGAGAGATTCGTGGGAGTATCGAAGCATGCAAACGTCGTACCAGATTATGGCCTCTTTCTGAACTGGGCAACGGCGTTTTATCTCTCCAGCTGCGGTGGAAACGCAATCACCGCAGGTTGCGGCGAGGGTGTCCCCGCGGCAGAGGAAGAGGCCGTTGATGACGTTGGCAGTACCGTCGCCTAGTCGTGTTCGGAAGAAATGGCTGCCTTGGGTGGCGTTGGATGAGAGATAGGAGAGGAGGAGGTTGAGGTTGATCTGAAATGTGGAATTTGACCGGTATTTGACGGAATCTGTGCAGGCATGAGAGCTGTAAATCGGAGTTGCTTCACTGAGAAAGAAGAAGAGAAAGCTAAAGAGGAAGACGAAAACAGAGGACTCGAAATTAGGCATTCTGGGGATGTCCCTCTGGACAAAGGTCCTGCACTTGGTGTGTTAGCGGCACAGTTCTGACACTAAAAAAAAATTATTTTTTAGTTTGTGTTTGTTAAAGATGTTGTTTGAGAATCATGTCCTATTCTAATACAATTATACGGCCGGTGGGACATGAAAAAGAGACACAGTAAAAATGCAAGTGTGTATGGTAAATTTACTTGTACCGTCATGATTGACTTAAAGGATTTAAATAACATGATAATTTTAAGTCAGGTGCGAGGAGTGAAACGAAGTTAGGCAGCAATGAGCAACTGAACCAACTTTCAAACGTGGGACCGTGTGGTGGCTCTCTGTTCACTTTTTACGGAGAGTGAGCCAACCAGAACTAGAACTACTGCATAATCCACTGGGAAATAATCACAAAACGAGATACTACATGGGATCCCGGCATCCTTGGCCCACATGCTTTGTTTAGCGACTTGTGAAATGTGGCCTTCCCTGCTGAACTAGTCCTAGAGCCGGGAATCAGGGCCGGCCCGGCCCTCCAGGGCCGGCCCTTCAGGGCTGGCGGGCTTAAAAGGGCCGGCCCTCCAGGGCTGGAATTTTAAAAATACCCCAATTTGCTAGGCCCGGCCCTTAAGCTACAGGGCCAGGGCCGGCCCGCGGGCTTTTGGCCCGTTTAAGAAAAAATACTATTTTTATATTTATCATATTTTTTATAAAAATAAATCAATGAAATTATTAATAAAAGACATAAATATGAATAAAATTAAGTCACATATAAAATATCATCATATATAAATATTCATCAACATCTAAAACATTCATTAACAAGATAACAACATCTAAAAGTTTTATCTATAATGCAATTGTGCAATAAATAAACACTATTATTAATCTTTTGAAACTTCATCATCACTATAATTAATTACTTTTCTTCATAAGTATACTTTTCTTTCGTAACAAAAATATCAAGTTTTTCTTCTTTATAAGAATTTTATTTTTAAATTTTGCAATCTAACTATTTTTTTACTTTAATGTGAGAAACATTGCTGTTAAAACTCATGAATTTCTAATTCAAATTATAGAATCACAAGTTATATAAGTATAAAAATATTCTATTATCAAATATATATATATATATAGTTTAAAAATATCAACGCATATAATATAAATCAAATCATTATTAAAGTCCAAATTAACCCATTTTTTAAAAAATTAATTGGATAAATTATTATCTAAAACTAAATTTACTTTTAAAATGATAATAATAACTAAATATTTGAAATATTATTAACAATGTAAAAAATTAATAACATTAATATTATATAAAAAAATTTTAAAAATAAAAAAAATATAAAAGGGCTTAAAAGGGCCGGCCCGTGGCCCTCCAGGGCCGGCCCTTTTAAGCCCTCGGCCCTCCAGGGCCAGCCCTCCAGGGCTTATGTTTCATTTTAAGAGAAAAATATCAAGCCCGGCCCTCATAATTTCAGGGCCTAAAAGGGCCGGCCCGACGGGCTCGGCCCGTTTTCCCGGCTCTAACTAGTCCCTACCAAAACCCAAAAGTGAGGAAATATCTCCGTGCAGCTGATTGGATGAGAGGCTATATTCATTACTCATTTTCTTATCTTCACATGATGGAGCTCCACGTAAGCCCCAACTAGTCTCTTGCCTTTTTTTTTTTTGTCTTTCATGTTTTTCAACTTACTCCACTGGGAAAAAAGATATTCTAGTTTTAATTAATTAATTAATTGTGTTGTAGTATTTCATGAAAATTTGATATATTCTTTCACAAAACTAATATCAATTTTGATCTAAAAAAATAATTAAGAATTTTAACAAATTAATTTAAAAGTAAATAATTAAATATATTGATTAATTAATACTCCCTCCGTTCCTTATTATAAGAGACAGATAACCGAAATACGTTAATCAAAAAATTAGTTAAAATTAGTTAAGAACAATTAATGTGTAAAAAGTATAATTTATTTTCCAAAAATGCCCTCATTAATAAGGAAAGAGAATATGAGAGAGAATAATTAAAATATTAAAAGAAAGAGAAGTGGGAGGGAGAGAGAGTGTGAGTGGGAGATAATAAATATGGGTAAAATAGGAAATCAACACAAAAAAGTAGAGACAACTTTTAAGTGTCTCTTATATATAGGAACATACCATAAGCATCAAATGTCTTTTATAATGAGGAACGAAGGGAGTACATTATATGAAAAGAAAGTTACGGGTTATGAGAGCTAACTAGACGTAT